GCTATTCAGTTGCTTCAAATGAATGATTTAAATAAAAAGCAAATATTTCTGTTGTCCAAATGAAAAAAGCGAAGGTTACTTTTTTGTGATGTTGCTGTATTATTTTATTATATTTTGAAACATGACAATTTTTGAATAGAAGATATTCAAATAACCGTGCAAATGGGCTTAATTTTGATATCGATATAGAGGATGACGTCTTTATGATTTTAAATTAGACTTGATATTGGGGAAATTCTCTCTGCTCATGAATCATCTACCGGAAAATTCTGCCAGCGAAAGAACACGCCTGCTCAGATGCAAGGATGTAAAAAATGTCTTTATAAATCAAAAAGTGGCAGGACATATTACCAGAGATGCAAACTTGCACCGGACAGCAAATATATATTTTAAAGTGGTAGTTTATCAATTGTGATTCTTGGCTTAAAAAATTCGATTTAGTATATTTTTATCCATCACTATTTCGAAATAATTCGTAGGCTGATATAATTTATCTGAATTTTGAGGCAATCTCTCCGAGACTGTGTAAGTTCAGAATTAAGGGAAAGTTCCTTAATTTCAGTATTATCTGTTCGTATGCACCAACTGAAGATAAAACAGAGGAAGAAAAGGAAATTTTCCATGAAAATTTAAACAAAATTTACTACAGTTGTCCAAAATATGAAGTAAAAATTATTTTGGGAGATCTAAATGCTAAAGTAGGTAGAGAAAGGGAATTTATATTTGTAACTGGTGGATTTAGCTTACATGATTCAACCAATGATAATGGACGCAAATTAATTGATTTTGCTGCTTCACATAATATGATTATAGGAAGTACATCCTTTCTGCATAAAAATATTCATAAAGCTACCTGGCGTGCCCCTTGTGGCACTTATGCTAATCAAATTGATCACGTACTAATTGACGCAAGACATTACTCAGACTTGATGGACGTGAGAACTTATCGTGGGGCTAATGTGGATTCAGATCACTTCTTGGTTATTGCCAAAGTTAGATCAAGATTATCAAATGCAAAAAAGTTTGAGGGAGAGACTTTGAGAGAATATGACTGTGATAAACTTAAAAATGAAAGGATGAGACTTGAATATTGCGAAAAAATAAAGGAACAGTTGAATTTAAGGAATTGTGACGGTACTGTGGAAAATAAATGGAAATGTATAAAAAAAAACAGTATCTGTAACTCTGCCAATACCGTGATTGGTAAAGTAACTAAGAAACAGGTTAAGGATTGGTATGATATTGATTGTGCCATTGCTAATGATAAAAAGAATGTTGCATATAAACATATGGTACAAGCACATACAAGAAATAGTGCAGAGGAGTACCATAGACGTAGAAAAGAGGTTAAGAAACTCTTTAGGCAAAAGAAAAGGGTCTTTGATGAACAATTGTTTAAAGATGTTGAACATCTGAAATCCATTAATGAATGCTGAGCATTCTATCGGAAAATTAACCGCAGTCGATTGGATTATGCAAATGAACCTCTAGTCTATGCAAAAACAAATTTGGTGAAATTATTACTGATAAACAGGACATTTGAAACGATGGCATGAACATTTTAAAGAACTTCTTAATAAAAATTATGAGAATGTTGAAATAATTGCATCTGAATTCATAAATGACATAGAAGTTGAGGTTCCAACTATTGAGGAGATCAGGGCTGCAATTAAAAAATTAAAGAATAAGAAGGCTTCGGGACATGATCTTATTTCAGCAGAACTATTAAAAAATTACGAACATACATTATTGATAAATTTGTTTGAACTTATTACTGACATCTGGCACTCTGAGATTATGCCAACGGATTGGAATCGCAGCATTTTGTGCCCAATTCACAAGAAAGGAGATCCTATGACCTGTGCCAACTATCGTGACATTAGTCTTCTTTGTATAACTTATAAAATTCTATCTGGAATTTTATATCTTAGGGTATTACCATTTATTGATTCACAAATAGGAAAATATCAATGTGAATTCCGTACTGGAAAATCAACTAAAGATCAGATATTTTGTCTCCGTCATATTTTAGAGAAATCAATGGAATTTAACATTGAAACACATCATCTTTTTATTGATTTCAAGGCTGCTTTTGATAGTATCAATAGAAACTATCTTTTTGAAACAATGAATACTTTCAAAATACCTTCAAAACTCATTAAATTGACGAGACTTACATTGAAAGATACAAAGTGTAAGATTAAGTTTCTGGGATCTCTGTCAAAAAATCTTGACACATTCACAGGTGTTCGACAGGGAGATTCTCTTTCCCGTCTTCTTTTTAATATTGCACTTGAGAGAGTTATTCGTGATTCAAACATCAATACCAGTGGTCACATTTTTACTAGATCAGTACAACTACTTACATATGCTGATGATGTCGATATAATTGCTCGTTCCTGAAAGAGGCATTTCTTGCCCTTGAGGTGACTGCAAGGCAAATGGGCTTAGTCATAAATGTAGAGAAAACAAAATATATGTTTTTCTCAAGAAACCCCCAGACCCAAGTCCCAGACCCCTATCTTGAAATAAATTCTTATAGATTTTAAACAGTAAGGAGTTTTACCTACTTAGGATCAATTATTTCATTGACAACAGAATTACTCCTGAAATAAAAAACCGACTCTATCCGGCAAATAGGGCTGTCTATGTGCTGAGAAGATTTATTAAATCTAGGTTTCTTTCTAGAGAAACAAAGTTCTTAATCTACAAAACTCTTGTCCTACCAGTCTTGACATGCGCTTCTGAGGCTTGGACAGTGACAAAACAGAAGGAAAATTGTATTACAACATTTGAGAGAAAGATTTTGCGGAGTATACTTGGTGGTGTAAATGAAAACAATAACTGGAGAAGGAGATTCAACTTTGAACTGTACAAGATTTATAAGCAACCTGATATTATTAAATACATGAAAATAAACAGAATGAATTGGATGGCCCACGTGATTCGAATGAGTGATGACAATACAATAAAAAAGATACTGCTTTTTAGACCCACTGGAACAAGAAAGCGGGGAAGGCCGCGATTGAGATGGGCTGACTCAGTGGAGTCTGATTTTCTCGCAATTAATGAAAAGAATTGGTGATCAAAGGTGAATCAGAAGTCGTCAAGGAGAAATCTTCAGAGGAAGGCATTGGCTCACATTGGGCTGTCTGCCCAGCTATGATGATGATGATGATATAATTCACCACTTTATGTACTTATATCATGCTATACTTTTTAAAAAGCAAGCAAAAATAGTCAAATATTAGCGAAATTTACTTTGTAGTTATTTACCGTTTTTTTTTTAAAATTATTTTGTTTATTAAAATTATTAAAGTAGTTAGTATTATTAAAATTATTATATTATAAATGCGTACATTAAATGTACAGTCTGCAAAAAAAAAAAAAGAAAAAAGATATCACCCTGAATAACTTTCATTCTAATGATCGGATTTTCACGAACTAAGTGTCAATCTTAATGGTTCCTGGGAGTGACCTCAAATATGCTAATTAATTAGTGCTAACTAGCAATTAAGTTACGAAATCAGACACAAAAACGTACTTTCTCTGAATAAACATACATTCTTTTACATATTTGGATTCTTAATCTTCAAAATATAGGGGGTAGCCGAAATCTAAGAAATGTGGTCCCCATAGTTTGGTCAGGAGAACTATTCAAAGTTTGGACCCCTTATTGTTAATTTCACTTTATGCGTTTTTAGTCATATTTTTAAAACTAATTAAGCAATTCAAAAAAAAAAAATTGCCCCCACTCTTAAAACTCATTTACCCAAAGATAATTCCATGCAAAAAATAATTTTTAATAATTATTTATTATTTTTTATTATTTAATTATATTGAGGATGAAAAATTTTGGAATTATAAGGTATGATTTTTTTTATGCCATACTAATCTACATATTTTTCAATTGAAAAATCTAAAGTTTCAACTGTTTTTATTTAGTAGAAGCTGAAAAAAATTAAAATTAATTATTTTTAAAAAAATAATTTGGTGACAATGAAGAAATATTTAAATGGGGCGTTTAATATTAAAATGTGATTAACTTACACGAGGAACCTGTCTTCGCTCGTGTAGCGTAAAATTTCATTCATATTTTTTTCGCTAATAACCGATTGCTAATCTTTTTATTTTTATTTTTGTCAAAATAAAATACGACGTTTCTCTTTTCGTCTTCTAAAAACTTATTTGTAACTTACTAAATAATTTTGAGTAAAGCATTTTATTGAATAAAAAACATTTTATTCAACGAATGTCGAGTTTTATAGAAGCATGCTTCTGATAGAATATGATCATACACCAGATTGTGCTTATTTAATGTGATTATATTTTATTTTCTCAATATTTGGCGTTGAATTACCATTTGGCAAGATTGTATTGCGCCAGCCATCTTTCATCATAATGTAACCTTTCGAACTACTCACTCTTGTTCTTGTTGATTGAATTGTTGAGAGCGTATGATCGCTCTCTAATGCAAGTTCATGTGTGAACTAATTAATTACATTTGTTAAATAAATATTTGTTAATTATTATACAGTCCACATTACCTTCAATTTTAACTATTGAGCTATCACGGGACCGTACAGTTGATGAAAGATGGCTGGCGCAATACAATCTCGCCAAACGGTAATTCAACACCAAACAAATAGTATAAATAAATATTTAAGTATTCTCTACTACTGTAGTACTCCCTACTTATGTTTGTAATTCTATTCCACAAATAAAAATTTTGAACTCTGCTTTGTTCAAAGATATCAATAATATTTGGTATATCAATAAGTATCAAAGATAATTGGTATCAATAAGTAACACAGGTATCAGTGATAATTTGTATCAATAAGTAACAAAAGTATCAATAATTACTTTGCCATATTTATCAAAGCCTCCGTACTCACACAGTACAGAGATATTAATAAAATAAGTAAATATTGGAGATTTGAATACGATTGAGTATTAAATATGCTCTAACAATGTATAAAAATACAGACACTTACCTTATTACTGAAATTACAACATTTGTTTCTCTAATAACTAGATGTGAATATTATATGTGGGAAGGAAGTAAACAGGATGATTTTTTATCCTGTCGGAAGTGTATAAAAAGGATGAGAATTTATCACTGTAAAATTTTTTGAGAGAAAAAAAGAAGGAAATTAAATCATCCTAATCTTACTCAGAAATTGTGAAATAGCACAGGTAAGAGATATTTCATTTACCAGTTTGTATTGATTAAAAAATGATTTTTAATCATTTTTGGCAAACCAATTTTATAAATATGGTTGCGTACTGTCGGACACCACTATATTGCACCGGCAGTGGACTTAGCAATAAGTTAACTATAAATTAGGGTACACCATGTCTAAAATATTTGAAAATATAAAGAGCTTATAAAAGCATTTTGGCACTGCGAATTAGTTACATTTTCTGTATCTTCTTTTCATCAATTATAGTCATTATTTTTTTTTTTCAATTGCCTCGAAATTTTTTCTTTAACTACGTTCTTTTTCCCCAGGATCGCATACGAATTTCATATAATTTAGAATAGAAAATATTTCAGCGTATGAATCACAACGCAATTGCCCTAAATCATTAAAAAAATAAATTAATAAAAAATATATCTGTGCATGGAATACGGCTTAAGTGCATACCGAGCATTGTCACTAACCCAGTAATGCCCGACCTTAAAAAATTGGTAGTATACATTTATTTGGTAGTATACACTTTTTTCTGTTACCAACAACTTAAACTTTCAAACGGCACTGTCCCTTGACTTCAAATTAAAATATTAATATTTGCATTATTAATATATTATCTCAGGCAAAGCTATCTTTTTACTTCAAAATAAATGCGAACATTGAAAAAGTTAAAAAACTTTTGCTAACAATTTTATGATTATTATTTATTTATTATTAATATATATAAATTTATATATATATATATATATATATATATGTTTTTTTTTTGGTAAAAAAGAACTGAACTTTTAAAAGGGCGTTAAGTACAAATGGGTTACCCTAAGAAATTCAATATATAAAATCAGGTGATGCCTCGGTATCTTAAAAAAAAGTGTAAAGATTATCATGCCATGCATCCCATACCTTCCTCCACCTTCAAACGAAATGGAACAATCCACTCCCAATAAGGGGAGATTGAAATTGAAGGATCCAGCAGCAACTACTTATTCTTAATAAAATGGCATCAATATCAACATGTTTTTTTTTTTTCATTTTTTTTTTCAAAAGCATTTTTAAAAAAAAAAATTTTCTTTCAGAATGAACACTTACGGAATGTTTTTGGGATTCATTTTGATAAGTTTGGTGTTAGGTAAGTAATCACGACTGAAATAAATATTTCTTTTAATTAATTTTAATCCAAGGATTAGATTCTCACAATATGAAGGCAGGAGTTTATATTGTGAACTTAAGAAACAAAAATCAGTTACGTGATAAAATGAAAACCCCTGTATAATGCTGTCCACCAGTGAATTTTCAGCCTTTTTAAACAATAAAAACGATTTTTATACAATTTATGTAATCTGTTTTAGTTGATAAAATAACCAACGTAAAATTGAAACAAATTTAAGTTGGTTAAAAAATATATATTTGCAACTATGGCCATTATTAATTAAATTTATTAACTATTCTTCAGCAAATGTTCTAAAATTAATTCAGCACTAATTCCAAATGTGTCTTATAGATGGTCCTCTTCACAACGATGTATTATTAATTAATATTCTGACACTGTAACGTTAACATTATTCGTTGTTGTTGTTATTAAGTATATTTTTCTGTTATAAATTATAATGTTATAACCTATGGAACTCACTCATCTCATATGGATTAACGGAATACGGACTCACTTTTGAATAACTCTATGATTATCGTATTTCACATTAAATATTTCAAAATATCAATTAAAATTATAATTCTCAAATGTGAAGGAGCAATATTTTTAAAGCATCTAGCGTGAGCGGATCGTGAATATGTGGGGCCCTGGGCTGAAACTACTTAGGGGCCCTAATAGCAATTTTGTCAAAAAACTGTTTTCTATAGTGATGTAGATAAGTATATAGAAAAAAATAGTACAATAAAATAATTTTATTTATTTTTATTTGAGTATACAAACAGCAACTGTACAACATTATTGCAAAAGAAATTGACAGGTTATATGTGGTTATGTTATATAGATTATAAAGCAACCTTTCTGCATTTTTGTGCTGCAAATTCCTTTATCTGCTCATCACATTATAAGTCCTTCGTTAAATCACAATTTATGGAAAGAACTGATAAATGATTAGTCGATGGTTCGATATTGTTGTCCTATATTTGTTTTCTATATATGACATCCTGGAGAAAGAGAGCTCCGCTTCACAGCAGTGATTGGTAAAGTTAAGAAAATCTTTTAGATAGTATAGCAATTTGGGAAAACATCAACAAGTTTCTTTTCATAAATTAGCATAAAAATTTCACTGCAGGAGGTGTAAGACTCTGGCTTAGACTGAAGTAAATAAGATTTTAACTGAATGCACTCATTCACTAAATGCTCGTCTACGTCATCTGGATAATAATCAACAATATTACGTACACTTTCCAGATCTATATTTTCCATATTTTTCCCTCGCAAATCCATTAAAAATTTGAATTTCTTGCTATACATCTCATAGACTTGGCTCCTTTTATTTAAATCCATAATCAGCTTATCCAACGCAACGTTTAGCGTGTCTCTTTTAAATTTTTCTGCGCCGTATACTGAGAATTTGTCTGTAGACTTATCTGAAAATTTTGGAGTAATGCGTCTTTTGTTTATGTCATTGTACTCTATTCCCACACTAGTACTTAATTTTTTTAGCTTTCTCTTCGTATTCCTTTAGCTTTTGATCTGATTGGTGCCTTATGTTGTTCACGAAGTCTTTTAATGACACAATTAACTTGTTGCCTTCACAAATATCTAAACCAGGGCTCTGTATTTTTTTATTAACTAAATTAAATCTCCCCAAAATTTCTTCCCAAAAAATAATCAAACTTGCAGTATTGAGTTTCGCCATTTTATTGAATAAATTGTGTGCCTCTTTCCGGAAATCAACTTTCTCATCCTCATTTTCGCTGAAACTTTCGAAAATTTTCATAATGTCATCATAATTATTTTTCAAAGCTTTGACAGCATCATAGTGACAAGACCATCTGGTCTGGCCTAAACTTTTTAACATAAATTTGAGTTTTGTTTCACGATTTAACAGTTCCCACCTATGGGTCGAAGTAGAAAGGAAAACGTGTATTTTTTGCACTACTCCAAAAAAGTTCACAATTTCGGTTGTAACCTTAACAGATTCTTCACCAACTAGGTTAAGGGAATGCGCAGCGCATGGCACATAATCCGCGGATTTATTCTTTTGTTTTAGTAGTGCTTGTACACCATTGTAGTGACCTGCCATATTAGCAGCGTTGTCATAAGATTGTCCCCTACAATTATCCAGTAGTAGTCCATTTGTTTCTAAAAAGTCTTGTAGAATAGTAAATAAATGTAAGCCAGCATTACTACTAATTTTAATGAAGGATACACATCTTTCATTCACTTTCCCCCGAAAACAGTATCGTAATACAATAGCAAGTTGATCATTGTGAGATAGACCTGGAGTAGAATCCATCACAATAGAATAATACTTTGTGTCGTCGTTATTTATTTGAGTTATAATTTGCTTAATTATCTGTCGACCCATAATCTCAATTATTTCCTCATATGCTGTTTTTGATAAGTATGATACAGAAATGCGGAAAGAAAAATTACGTCGGGCGAGCGGCGCGGCGGGAAGTCCCCGTAATAGAAGCGAAAAAAATCCACTGACACAAGCGACGGGGAATTCCCCGTTCCGTTCGATAGACGCGCACATGCATATGTTGATTGATCTCAGGGTTGCCAACCTTATAATAGTTTTTTTTTTAATATTAGATATTTTTTTAATTCAAAATATCACCTATTGTTTTCAGCGGGGACTGAGGCCCTGGGCTGCAGCCCAAAAAGCCCTTAAGTAGATCCGCCCCTGGCATCAAGGCAGCTGTATGTCTTCTGAGTTTTATTTGGGGATTTTAGCATTAAGTTTAAGATTTTGTCACTTAGAGAACCATTTAAATAAATTGAGAATGTAAACAGGTACTGTCTGGGAATCACAAAATGAACCCCTGTCCTCATTGATTGCAACATCACTGAGAACTTAATTCGTGATTCCCAGATTATAAATAAAGAATTGTAAATTATATACTGTTGTTTTTTAGGAGCAGAGAGAAGGTTACCTTGTTGGACAAGGAAAAGGTGTAACTCCTGTCGAAAAAGTAAGGTTTTCATAATCTAATTGAAACTAAATAAAATAGTAATAAATTATTTCACAAACACAGCAACTATTGTCTCAATCCTTAACTTGAAAGGTGTTTTGAAGCTGTTTCACCAAGGGAAAAAAGCCACAGTTTAAGTGCATTACACTTGAAGCAAAATTATAATTTCATACTGCTTCTTTTTTTCAGTTTTTAATCTTTAACCGACTTTATATGCATTAGAGTTATAGAAGTTCATGTCACCAAAAGAAAGGGTAACTAATACATATAACATTTCACCCGTGATAGTTACGATTAACCATAACCACATTGGCACGTAGTGGGTAATTTCAAATTTATTTTCCAAAATCCTGTTCATGTTACATTATTTAGGTCAGTTGAAACACGTTTAAAGGGGTATAGTATCAACAAAGGAAATACATAGTTTATAATAGACTGCTGCCCATTAAAGTTGTTTCATCTGGAAAATGACAAGCCAAGTTCGTGAAATTTACATGAGAGATATTACATGGTTGGATATGCGAAGGATTAGATTTCTAGCACATTCATGTAAAGCAAGAGGTAGTGGTGATATGATAGCTATAATGCAAATAAAAGCGAAGGTTCGACGGCAATTTTCTCTGATTCGATTTGAACGTTATTTTCGATTTAGATGTTTGTTTTGTTGTAATTATTTGTATAAGAAGAAGAAATGACTAAAATCAAGTGCCTCATTTTAATTAAGGAAAAAATATAACCTACTGTGGTTGCGGTGTATCGCACTGTATTATTGCTGCTTAACTTGGCCAATATCCCTTATGAAATCGATGGGTTCAGGACCGTAAGAGGAAACATCAACGAAACGCTGTTAGATATAAACGGCCCTCTACTACAACAAGAAGATAGTCATTACGAATCCTAAATATGGAAAAGTAGTCGTTTGTCAGGCTTTGCCTTATCGTCGAGACCTCTCTAACTATCTTTTCCACAGGATATTGCACAGCTGTCCGTATTGTTGTGAGTTTAACTTGATACAACGCATAGGCAACAATCACCATGGCCAACAAGTCTGTCCTCCTGATTTTTGAACAGTTGAAAACGTGTAGGTTGATGAGAGATTGATTCATCACTTCTGTCAATGCATTGTGACACAGTCTTGAAGCTGTTTTTACCGAAGTCTCTGAAAATGGCAATCTCTTCATCCAGTCAGATAAATGCTCTTTTTTACTGTCGGAAATGGTAACTTTTTGAACCAACTTTTAAGAATCTAGAGAGCCTAATTTACGGTAAATTTAATCATGAGCTCATTATCCCACAATGCATGAGTTCAATACATATTCCAACTTAGAGTAGTAATTTTTGTACCTTTCACAACTTCACATGAGTACACTAAATTTGATATAAATAAGTTCAAATTGCGAATTAGTATAAAAAACATACAAAAATTCAGCTATATGCACATTTCTTTTATATTATTATCTTGGTTATATTATTTCTTTTGCAGAATCCAAAATAGGTCAAATGCCAGTTTGCTGTGCAGGATGCGCAGTGGGAAAAGTAACAGTTCGTGTGACAAAGGCGAAGAGATTCTGTTGGTGTGTTATCTGATGTAATTTTTAAAACCTTTTGAAAATATAATAATATGAACAGATATTGGGTTTTTTCTTATTTCAATTCGTCTATTTCTTAAGGGTAAGTCCCGCAGTGGACTGATCGTTAAGACACGGTTCCCAGCAGATCATCGAAGTCAAGCATCACTGGCTGCGGTCAGAGTGCGGGTGGGTGACCACTTGGATCAACCTGCGTAGGGACCGAGGTGTGCGGTATTGGTCCTCGTTAAACTGTGCTACCGTAAAGTGCTCGACTTCGCGCGCAGGTCGTCGGGCTACCGAAGCGGGGGTGCCATCCAACACCTCCTAGACGTCTGAAGGCCTCAGCACGGATTAATTTAGTAGTCCGATGTGACGAAGTTAACTGCGCAGTTGATGAAAAATAAGAAAGATGTCATTACGTTCGGGGTACTAAGCTGCGCAGTGGTTGAAAATACGAAATATGTTATTACGTTTGGACTACTAAAGGATATTTATGGTAACCCGTGCAGAGGCCTACTCTTTTCTAGGAGGTGTTGTGCCATCCCCTCCGCAGAGGATCAAAATTGTGATGGCATGTCTTCGGATCATCCTCCGGGATGTTTCCCAGACCGTTGCCAATAGCCCATTTTGCAGCTCTAGTGCGACGTAAATTAACAACAACTTCGTAAAAATAAAGCGAAAAAAAGATGGTGATGAATGGATAGCGAATTGTAATACAGTACAGAACCGTTATCCGGAATTCAGAAAACCGGAACGAAATTCGATAAATTTTCCCGCCATATTTTTAAAAAAATGTTTTTTTCCTCATAAGATTTTAGGATTTTTCTTTCTTTTTTGAAAGATGTTTACCTTATCATCATTTTGGAAATAATCATTAGTGTATTACTTCATCGTTTTTTCTTCTTTTTAAGATTATTTCCAAATATTTTTTTTTATTAGTGTTAAACAATAAAAAAACGGTTTTTTGTAGCAATTCAGAAAACCGGAAAAAATAGTTATCCGGAATAGCGATGGTCCCGATCGTTCCGGATAATCGGTTCCCTACTGTAGTACCTAAAATTTATTTTATTGGAAAAATCTATGCACATTTAAAGATTTATAAGGAATGTGAGGAAAAAAATATCTTTTAAGAATTTGAAATCAGATAAAAACAAATCTGAGCATCTAGGAATGTTTTTCTTTTCTTAAAAAGGTTGTTTTAAGAGCCGTTCTTCTCAAAAGTTGGGCACACAACATCGATCTAAACTTCAAACTCAGGCAACAATTAAGTTTAAATTTAATTCATAATAGAAATTTTAGAATAAATTTATGATTCTGCATTACAAAAGGAATTAACATAAGTTATTGAAAAATTCTTCATAAATATCCCAAAAATATTTTCTTTTAACCAAAAAGGGCAATTTAGGATATTTATGATGTTAACTGATGTAATGTAAACTATAAAATTGTGGTTAGATTTCTACAAATAAGAAAAAGTGTATAAATTCCATAAAAGATAGTTACTTGTTAATATTCTTATCATATGATTGCATTAGATTTTTGTCTTAGAAAATGAACAGGTGTCAAGAATGGTTTTGTTGATTTTTAAGAGACTGGAAATATGCTAGTTATAGAATCATTTGCTTCGTAAATTGTGTTCGTTTCTCCACTTTTAGAGACTATTCTTTAATAAGGTAAGAAAACAGAGTTTTTTGAGTAACAAACTTTTTTATAGCAATGTTTTGAAAGTTGCAAAAATTTTTTTGTTTGTTCGAAATGAGAATTTGTTTAAGCATTAACACAACGAGACACCAACCATAAAAGATTTCATGCTTGTAAGATCAATGAAAAGAGAGCGTAAGCTCACTAGCCTGAACTAATTGGTCTTAAGCCCCTGTTAGCAATATCAGAAATTTAAATCCCCTAAAATTTCAACTGTTTTCATATAAGTACATTTACTTGTGAAATATTATCAGATACGACAAAGGTTGAAAAGTATAAGTGAGTAATTTGCAAACTAATTTACAAAATTCAAATCAATTTATAAACATTGCAACACAAAATTCACGTGAACTATAGTACTAGTCATTTGTTTAATCAATGTATCCCAATTCATTATCCATGGTCTAAATTTTATAACTGAAAATCAATATTGCATAGTCTTGTAATTGAGCAGACATTTCCCAATCACTACAGAGCAAAATTTATTTGCAAGGATTTTGAATCATGCATTAGAAAATTTTCTTTCTAACCTTATATTGTTCTCAATTTGTTGATGTTACAAAATCAATTTGATGCAACACACATCATGCACAAATTACTAACATTTGCCATATTTCTTCCTGCTCTTGAAATTTCTATTAATTTAAATCAAGTAACTCAAATTTGAATGGTGAATTTTTGTTACTTTATAACAATGCAACATCAATATTTTAATAATCCATGTTTTCAGATTTTAAATCATGTAAAAGAAATGCTCACAAGTTCTTCCCCATAAATTTAAAAGTTTTTTAAAAAATAACACAGTCATATAAAGTGTATCATAGTTTTAAAATCAAGTGAATAAAATGCAACATGATGAGGAATTGATTAATTTTATTAAAAACTATCACATATAATCTAAAAATTATGTTTTAATGGATGCTCTGCAAAATAACCTTTACAATCAACAATTTCTGATCCAATATTTAAATGATTTGCTTCATTGTTTTCGTTTACACCTACAAAGAAGAGATATGAAATTATTTTATAAGATATGCATATAAAAACGTTGATCAGCATGACTTTGTTATTAAATGATATGTAAAAAATATACAGTAGTCTCAATGGATTGCTGATAGGGAACAACCAGAATGGTTAAAAAAAAAGCCAGCGAGACTCATTTCTACACTCTGCGATTAGACTTTGTTATAACTTTTAGGACTGTTGCTTATAGGCACTCCTGAGTCATTTTAAAATTATCAAATCATTTTAATTATAAATTCAAACAAATTTTTTTCAACAATTTTCTGAATATTTACGTTACTAAATGAGGTTATCATCAATGTTTACTTAATGTAAGAAATATATTTTTGCAATATTTCTTTGATTGTCAAGAATAAAAGGATAAACAGTTATTCAGAAGAAAGGTAGTGCTAGAATTCCCTGTTTTGTCTCTGGCAAAACAGGCTTCAAGCATGAAGAATTGAACCAGATATATCTTCTAGGTATCTAGATCGATAGAGGTATTTAGATATTTATTGAGTTGCCATGCATGCAAAAACTGTTAAAACGCTTTTTCGACTTAATGTGAAAAATAGGGCAAACAAATCATAGATTTTTTATGAATTAAAAAAGAACGTTAATCTAAGTTGAAGTAAGTCTAAGAACTAAAAAAACTTAAAAAAAAAAAAGAATCTTAATACAATGATTTAATTATCTTTCTTCTCACCCTCCCTTCAAAAATGCTTTTGCCTCTGAACAACCTATATTAAACACACATTCTTATCAAATCATTATTTTTTATTATAATTAATTAGCCTAGTATAATTAGTTTATTAAAATTAATTAGTTTATTATAATGAATTAGTTTACTAAAATTAATAATAAAGGACATTCTAAAATTTATGTTAAATGAATGAGGAGTGAAAAATTAAAAACTTTACTGAAAGTATGACTAAAAATATATGTTTTATATGCTTAAAATTATGAACCGATTTATTTCATTAAAAATAAAATCTCGAATAAATATGCAGTAGCCTCCTGATTATCTGTTTTTTGGTGCCATCCGGCCTGATAAACCTTATGCAATCCTGATAAACCATTTTCTAATTGGACCATTGCAATTGGACCTTTGTCCTATCGGGCAATTTTGTTGTCTGGCCTGCCCTTTTGCCACATTAGACAGGATAGTCTTAGGCTTACTGCAATTTTTATTACTGGCGATAAAAAAACTTTTTTATGCAAAAGTTTTTTTCACACAAATAGTAAAACTTTTTATTTAATTTTCAAATTAATTTAATTAATTATTATAGCAAATTGTTTGTTAAAAAAGGGTGAAAGAATATTTAAATTTTCTGATATGGTCTGGTAAAAAACAATCAGGGTTCTAATGGATATTTAATAATGGACATTTAATATAAATAATTCACATTAATGCTATAATTTTTACAGCTACAAATTTGAAATAAAATGGAGACATTATTAGGTAAAATAAAATTAAAAAAGGAATATTACATGTTTATTGTGCAATAATTATCAAAAATTAACAAAATTTTTTTTAGAAATAACAAATACTAACTTATTTTTGAAACAATTTTTTAAATACTAAAAAAAAAAAAAAGAAAGTAAAAGAAAACATGCGGAATTTAAAAAAACTCTCAGCTAAGTTAAAATTGTAATCTTTGCAGAATGATTAATTTAAAGAAAAAAAGAAAAAAACAACAACAACTATTATAGTGTTGATTTTTATTGAATATAAAAAAATATCAGAGACAACTAAATTGTTTTATTAGATGAATATTAAAAAGCATCTTAAAAAGGTGTTTTCCAGCGAGGTTACTATTCACTTTACTAAAAAAAAAAATGCGTTAATATAAAGATACCAAAAGGCATACATCTCTGGTTGTGATTTAGGGAATGATGTAAAAAAATTATATTTTTTAAAATTAAAACATAACAATGACAGAGCTTGACAACAATGATGAGTGATAATGAAAATTGGGGGAATTTAAAACAGAGCTTGTTTAAATAACATTGAAAGGGCGAGGCTGAATTTACAATAGATTTAGAAGAGTATTATCAAAGGATTGAAAGTTTAACGTCTTTAAAAGTAATATTAAAATGCTGGGAATATTATTTTAAATTTATATTCGGAAGGAAAGAATAAACAAAAAAGTCACCTAAAACAATAGCGCCCATATTTTCTGTTAGCTTATCTATTATATCATGACAAAAGGCACCTGCCAGTAAAAGCTAAAGGAAAGAAATGATAAAATGCATTAATAACATTAATATACTATGTTTAAAAAAAGTTAATACAGTGAAATCTGTGTAATTTGATCAGTTGCTGTGTATTTCGATAATGGTCAACTGATGGAGGGCAGTGAATCATTGTTTTTATATAAGCTATTTATATATACATATCAATCAGAATAACACATATAATATATGCTATTATGTAAATTAATAGTTTTATAAATGTCAACTTACAATGAGCTTAGGTTAGCTCTTAATGCCATTTTCAGAGATGCCAACTGCTCCGGACACACCAAAATAATTAAAAAAAACGGTAGATAATTACAAAGCAAATTTTGCAAATATATGACTATTATTGCTTGCTCTTAAAAAGGTGCAGCATGACATTAGTACAATAAAGTGGTGAATGATATAAACCTACGAATTATTAAGAAATAGTGGTGGATAAAAATCCACTAAACAGAATTTATTAAACCAAGAATTACAATTGATAAACTACCACTTTAATATATATATATTTGCTGTCCGGAGCAAGTTGGCATCTCTGCATTTTAGTAATTACATAATATTCTAATACAAAAATAATTTTTAATTTTCAATGACAGATTACAAAGACAACTATAGACAAAACAAGAGGAAAAAATAAATACAATGCATCTCATAATAGTAAAAAGATGATCAAGAAAGAGTTTCTTTTCCCTTTTTTGCGGATCAACTTAGAAAGGATTTAGAATAGCATTCAATAATGCTTCTGGATAAATTTGATTTATTTTAGTAGTCAAAATATAAGATAGACTGGAGCATAGCACTGTTGCTAAGGTTTTGCTTCTCTTTAGTATATACAGTTAAACTCCGCTATAGCGAACACAGTATAAAGTGAACCCCCTGATATAGTGAATGGAATGTTGGGTACTGTGTCTTGCTATACATATATAATGTTATTTTTTGTGGATATAGTGAACCAAAAAAGTGAGGAAGTTGGATATATTGAACTTTTTTACTGATTTTTTCCCTCATTTTTTTTGTAATAATTTTGAAATTTCTACTTCAAAATAAATATATATACCGATTTTTAAGATCATCTATAGAGGGGAATGTAGCGCTAAGCATTTTTTCTTGTTTTCTTCTTTTTATCTCACTTTCCCATCTCTAAACAAACCAAGCAGATGTTTCCAACTTAGGCAGATGATGCACCTGTAAGGTTTCAGTGGTATTAATATGTATTTTCTGTCAGAGAGAATGAGTAAGTATTCAAAATTGGTCAAAGAGTTGGACACTAATATGTGTTGATAAGGCCCTCATTTCAACTCCTTTTTGCTCTCAGTTCAGTTAAAAAGAGCCTGCAAACAAGTGTCTCAAATTTAACTATGGCGAGCAGTAAACGTAACATGTTCTCCATTGATGATAAAATGGGCATAATCAGAAAAATTGAAAATGGATGCAATCAAGCTGATATTTACAGGGTATATAAACTATCAAAATCTGCAGTTTGTAACATATAGAAAAATAGATAATGAATAATTTCTGCTCATGAAAAAAATTTAGATGGTAGAAAAAAAGTTGAGAAAAGCAGATCACAAGGATGGTGAAGAATTACTGAAGTGGTTCAGCATTCGAAGAAGCGGCAATCTTCCAGTATTTGGACAAAGGTCTATGAATTTGTTATTTCATAAGACTACCTTTATTTGCTCGAATGGCAGGTTAGACAGTATGTATATAGAGATACAGTATGTATTGTAAGATACAGTATGTACTTACTGTATATAGAAATACTTCACTGCATATAGAAATAACATAAACTCCCAAACAATACTGTACATGAAACTTTTTATTCTGACATTCATGCAGCATATCAGCAAAATATGTTAGCTTTCATGCATTCAATTAAATCGTGAATTAGATTAACCTGTTAAAAATGGTACTTAAAATTTAATTTTATTTTATAACCGTCATGGAACAGCAGGCCCAACTTTAGGTTTATGACTTCTAATGTTTAACTCTGTAGCCTAGTAATTTTGAACCCAATACAGAAGACAAGGGAACTCCTGGATCAAGTATTGGGAGAAAAATGCGTTTGTAGAGGACTTTGAGATGGAACTAACCCGCATTTGCATTACATGTAGAGGTAAAGCACAAAAACCTTCTAAGGTTAGCCTGACGGCAAGGGGATTCTAATCCATGGTCCATCTACCAAGCAGGATATTTTATGTGAGCATTGTGGTTGATGCGAGGTGTGTGTGGAATTCTACTAGCCATTGCTGGGATTCGAACCCGGTTTACTTCATTGGAAGCCAAACGCTCTATTCCTTGAGCCACCACGACTTTACTTAAACTCAATGTTGTGGGGGTAGCTAATTAAAATAGAAATATAGTGTGAAAACAATATGAATGTAAAAATTCATAATACGTAATTCAGTGATTTCGCTTATGTGCAATAACTGGTCAAAAATCAGAGAGGGGGCGGGTGTCCTTTTGCCCAGTAATTCTGCAGTTTGGGGGAAAAGCGTATCATCAGATTTATGTAGACAAAATCATAATCAAATTTTATCATTACGTATACATTTATATGTACAGTGAAATCTTCTGCAAAACGGATGCTTCTCAATATGGACATATTTCTAATTCCATGTGAATCTTCAATGAATTAACCATTATGTACATTCTCCGTAAAGTGAACACTTCCGTAACAGGACAGTCATTTCTGCCCTGAAATGTTATTTTTTATCTCTTGATACCAAACACTATTTTTCTTAAATTTGAAAAAAAAAAAAAAAAAAAAAATTCCGCAAGAAAGAAATTATGCAACTTTTTTCCTATTTTTAAAGCATGCAAATTTTTTGCCTTACCCATAACTAAAAACATTGTTAAGCTATTTCACTACTAAAGAATCAATCTTTCTTCAGTCACCTTGCTTTATGTATTATCTAGAATTATGTATGTATCTGGAATCATATTTACATTAAACTTTTTAATGTATTCTCTTTGTATAGAAAAAATATTTTTTAATGTTTAAATAAATATCCTTGTAGAGAGTTGCAGATTATTTAACTATTTCTGTATAACTGAAAATATTCTAAAAACAATTTACGGTGTTAAACTTCCTTATTAGGGTATTTTTCCCATAAACAGACAACTCTCGTAAACAGACAATTTTTTCGGTCCCAAAAGTGTTCAATTAACTGAGGTTTCACTGTATATAGATATAAATGCATACATTTATTTTTCTTTATTAGTAGCTGAAGGAGAAAATTAAAATAACTGTGAGTCTCAAATTACATAGTTGCTTTTTCTTGATTGTTTAAATGTAACTCTTCTCGTTCTTTGTTTCATGTACCAATATGCAGAATAATAATGAATGTGAACATAAATAAATTGATAAAAAGGTAGCAAATTAATTTTTAAAATAGTAACTTCCTTGAAGTAAAAAAGAGACACAGAAATATGGAAGTCCTGGCTCCTAAGAACCCATAATTTCCAAAGTGTATAAGAATTACAAGTAATTTAATAACTAAAGGTGCACATTTTTATTTGTAAATATTTTAATTTTTATCCTTAATGTCTTGGAGATATAACAATTTGCAATTAATGATCTGGTTGAATTATTTGTCAAACTCATTCACTACTGGAAATAACCTTGCGCAGAACCTTTTCATTGTCATCAAATAAAAGTGCTATTTTACAACATAGATTACACAACTTTCGGGAAAACGGTTTTTTAGACCAATTTAAAGCAAATCTAAGATAAACTTGAATAAGCTTTGAGAAAATATTTGCAAAAAATGCTAGCTTTGGAATAGTAAAACTAAATTAAGAAAAAAATAGAAACTTCTAACTAAAAGCAGATAACTTGAGACCAGAAACTTACTTCTTGATGGGAGTTCTTCATTCCTAAGCAATAGGACCGAGAACATCTAGACAGAACAGCTGCAAAGGCGTAGAGATCAGCTGCAGCATCAGCTAACCTCCATGGATCCAGTTGGGTCAATATAACTTTCTATAGAACAAAAGAAAAAGAAAATAAATAAAAATTGAATAAATAAATAAAAATATAAAAAAATATGCAGTTAATATGAGTAAACATGCCACATGAAAGTGAAACTGAGTTGAACAGGAGTTTTAAATAAAATTTTTTTTTTTGCAAACATCAAATATTCAGTTTTAGCAAAAATAGTAGTTTTGACTAGAAGCATGAGAACAATTCCTGTTGAAATTAGGTGACAATTTAAAAGAAAAATATATTAATGCTTTGTTTCTTTATTCTTGACAAAATGGTTTTATGAAGTAGTAGGGATTGTGTAGCCCAACTATTTAAAAAATCAATTTAAAAAAAAAAAAAAAACAAAAAACAACCATAACGGTGAACTATAGAAATATATAGCATGCTGTGGTCTGCTAATGAAACCAGATATATATTATAATCAAATCTCAAAATTAGTTACAAAGTTCATCAGCAGACAGCGTTGCTAATTAAGTAAAAACAATAAACCAATGTCAACAAAATAACCCATATTAACAGCAATCACCACCTGAGCACAAAATTAGGAGATGACTAAATATTGCAGTAAAACATTGTCCTGAAGTTCTTCTACAACTGTTAATAAACATTGTAACTTGATGGAAATAAATGATCTGATTTCCTATGCAGAAAACGGTATACTATACATTTTTCTTGAAATGTTTTTTTGAATCATTAGTTACTTTTGGGACACCTAATATTACTGTATAAAAGAAAGAGAACAAGAAAACTATGCCCTAATTACACTTCTGGTGCTGACTAAGGTATAAAAATAAGATTAAATATTATGCATATTAGACAATATTTGCAGAACTTTTTTACTTCAAATAAATGTGACACATTTTTAAATAGAGTGATTAAATACATTTGAATTTATATTCTACATTTAGATATATTACATAAATAGGGTAAGGCATCAATAACATATAATAATCTATGTACCATAAAAGTTTACAAGAGCACAAAAGCAATAAATAGTTATCAATTGTAATTTATTTACTTATTTATTGTGACATAAATAAATTAGCAATAATAAAAACCCTAACAATCTACAATCACTGTTTCTTTTTTTTAATGAAAATTATTTTTGTTGTTGTTGAAAATGGCTGTTTTGTGTCGGCAACTATGTTGAATTGCAAAATAGATTCTAATTTTGCTTCAGCTATGCAGGAGTATGAACTGTAGTAGTTTAGAAAAATAGCAATTATGAAATTACAGAAATCAGTAAATTGCATAGAATAATATAAAAGGTTATGCTATTAAAATTTACAAAAATAAATCACCATTAATTTAATAGGGAAATTAGATACAATTTAGTTTGACTTACTTGTCCATGATGAATAAGAATGCTTTCGACACAAAGTTGAAATTCTTGAAGCTTTTCTTCAAATCGATTTCCACATGTCTAAATCGATGAAAAAAAGTAAAATTTTAACAATAATTTTAGATGAAGTACACATGCATTGCTATAACCTTTTCATGCAATTTGAATCTTTCTTCAGCAATGTTATTAATAGACTTTGATGACCAGAGAAACTCCCTAAAAATTTGCATAACAATTCCCTTAATACAAAAAATGCCCTATTTTCAAGTAAAAATATTAAACTAAAGCAATGTTTGTCTCTTAGGTATAATTGTGAGCCGAACTAAAAAATCCTGAAAATTCCTTGAATAAAATTATTAATGACCCATTTAAAAAAAATTTATGTCTTTATAAATTAAAATTATTGATAGTTTCAAAACATGAAATTCTAAATAAATTATATGCAGCATAATTTTATGCTTTATTTTATAGTCGTTCAACAGCCAACCCAATTTTGGGCTTACAACTACTTATGTTCAACTCCGTAGCCTTGTAATTTTGAACCAATCTAGAAGACAAGGAAACTCCTGTATCAGTACCCCCAGAGGTATTGATTTGTTATGGGAACACGGAGGACTTTGCAAGTTGAGAGATTTAACGCGCATCAGTCACCATTTACTACACGGGGAGTCTTCGGCTGGCAGGGATGGAACCAGGCAGCATAATTTAAATGAATATTATGTATAAGTTCACTTTTATCTCTAATCACACTTATTATTCTACCAGAAAATATAATTACAGATAAAAGAGATGCCAAAAATAATTAAATATAAATTCCAATATTTTTAAATAAAATATACAAGAAATTTTATATATAAATGTGTTCTTGTACTTTCTGGACCCTTCCGGATTGAGGTTAGAGAAAAATCCGGAATTTTTCTGGAGCACAATCACCTCTGGTCTCTATAAAATTACTTCATTTCATGTTAAAATATCTAAAGCAATGCAATATATGATCTACGTTCATTAAAGTTAGAAATAAAAATTTTATATGCTAAAATAACAATCCATCTCTAAATGATGTCATACATCATAAACCAATAAAATAATACTTCAACTTACAACCTAAATTTTTAGTAGTTAATGTGTTTAATTAATGGCAAATATCTTTTTATTATACAATCAGATAATTAAAAATTAGAGAAATTCAGCAGAGTTTATTTAAGAAAAGAAAAGAAAAAGTAATTGATAATATTACCACTAATGATGGATGAATATGTCCAGCAATGTCTTGAGAATATTTGTACAATCCCTTTGAAACCTTCCAGCGTCTAATGAAACCACTCACGGCTCTCTTTGGAAAAAAGAACGTATTACGTGATTCCCTATAAAAAAAGAATTATATGAATAATTTATTTCTCATAATGCAAAATGGACATTTAGAGGAAAATATCAGTTCAAAATTTTTAAAAAAATAGAAGGCAAAACTTTATAGCTTTATTTATCTTATTTATGTGATTAAAAATCTATAAGTGGAGTCTTCTGAGAATATGGGCTAATTTTTTTTTGGTAGGGGGAAGAAATAAATGTTCATAAAATTTGGGAAAGAATAAAGTTTCTTAAAAAAAAAAAAAAAAAAATAGTTTAACAAATTATTTTTAGGATGGAATATAGAAGTTTAAAGGATAATAACATTAAAAACCTTAAAAAAAAAAAACTTTTTTTTTTAAACTATTTAAGAAATAGAACAAAAATTTTTGGAAATAAATATTTAATTTTATTTAACTTATTTATACATTTAAAATTTTTGTGTGGATCTATTCTTTGTTTGGATTCATTCTTTCTTTTAGGAAAAAACAATGAATTAAATAGTTTTTTTTTAAAATTTTTGGTACCAATTTATTTTTAAAAAATCCAAATTTGTGGATCCCCCCACAGTTCACTCAGAAAATAGTATGTTCTGGAAAACACACACAAAAATCAGGATTATCAGGACAACTATAAACCTTGCACATTTAAAGTGTGTCCCTCAAACCTTTAAGTCAACATTCTGGAACATTAAAATCTGATATTTAGTTTAGAGGTTATTTAGGGTTTTTCACCTTTTTTTTTTGTCATTTGCACAAATAAAGCGTTCTAAAATATTTGTGCACATTATTTCCAAGAGATATATTTTTCTTGTTCTAAAACAGCAATAACTTTCAAAAAAATTCAAAGAATATTTTTTACATACATAACTTCCTGTCCCAGGGTTGCCCCAGCAACTTTGAATCCATTCATACTCAAGAACAGTTTGGTAATGTCATTTGGCATCTAGGGGGGGAAAAAGAATCACACATTTAGTTAAGTTTGGACAAAATAATTTAAAACATTTTAAAGATAAAAAAAATATTTTATTAAATTAATAAAGACGATTATTCAGAAATTCATATTCTCTTAATTTGCTTTCTTTAGTTAGCATTGTTACATTATACATGTGTAGTAACATCAAGAAAAAACCTTTTTACATTATACATGCAAAGAAACATTGTTACATTATACAAACATAGTAACATTATATGTACACAGTAACACTGTTACATTATACATACACAGTAACATTGTTAAGAAAAAATTATCTTAGTGGTAGTAACATTTGTTTTAATGTATAAAATGTTTGTTCTTATAGTGGACAAAACTTTGCATAACCACTAAAACAAATCAATAATTAAAAATAAGTATATTAGATGCATTAGGTATTGGTAAAAATCATAACAACCAACTTCAACTATTTTCTAAGTGTTGACAAAAAGTAATTCATTAGAGAAGGTTTCTTACTTCAATTATTATTTTACCACTAGTGTGTCAAATCATTCTCAAGTATTACCATACAAGCTGACAGTTCAGTATCATGATTTGATAAGCATGAAATAAAGTTATGATACCTTTATTGAGGAAGTATGGTGCAAAATTTTAAGCAATGATACATTTTTTATTAGAGAATAGACAAAAATACCATAGCATGGTTTTCTACACAAAAGCTTCAAATGAACATACAACAAGGTTTCCATGCTTGTTGTATGTTCACTTGATCTTTTTTCACTTTTAATTATGAAACAAATAAAATTCTTTCTTTTTTTAAGTACACTTGTTTGAATTGAATACCCCATTGTCAAACAAAAGTAGGAAAATAAGAAAAAAAAAGAATAGTGTATATTGATTGAATAGTAATTACTGTACAGTTCTCTTTATTTTATAATTTTAGACCACCATTTTAAGCATTACTAGTTAGTTTAATCATCAATATTTTTTCTTTGATAAATACTATTTTTAACCAGTAAAAATCATACTAACAACCGATTGTACGGCTTTCAGGTTAACTCTTCTAGAACAAGGTAGGTAAGTCACTTCGGATAGGGATACAAGGTGAATAGTTTTGTCTCAACTCTTTCATTCCCCAAAGGCACCCCATAAGAAATAAGCTGTTTCTTGTTATCATAGCTATGGACAGTCCCAGACTTTTAGTCTGAATGAGTTCTCCACAAAGCCGAACAGTACTTTAATCTGATTTTCATGACAAGGAAAGCTGGGGACTAAATTTTTTCTAGGACATAGAACTTTGTTAATTACAAAGTTAACAACAATTAAAGGCTTCTTCGAATTCTAATAAAAATTTCAAGCATGCCAACCTTTCTTAAGTTCAGCTCATTAAATATAGGAAATATAAAATTTCTAGTGCTCTAAAAAAAGGGATAACTTTAGTAACATTTATTAATGAAAAATCTAAAAATACAATACTTTAAAAATTTTAACTTTAATAGTTTTTATTTGTTTAGATAAGTGCATGATCAAAACTTTGCAGCAGTTTCATTTTTATATAATTTTTGTCAAGCACAAAATGTCAAACATGGTAAAAAAAATGCAAAAGGAATAAAAAAAAGGAAGAAATGTAACAAATAATAAAAATTTGAATTTGGAGAAAAGATGATAAAAATTCCTATATTTCTCTACATGGGCTCTTGAATCTAGGATTGTAGATATTTTACCAGCGGAAATATTCACACAAAGAATAAATAAAAAATTAGAATTTATTAAAAAAAGCTATCAACGTAATACACGATTCACTCAATTAACATTAAGCATATAAGGTAGAAAATTAACATAAGATATCACTTGTAACATTATGCTTTTAACTAAACTTATATGAAAAATAAACTATAATAAAAAATAAGTAGCATACATCAAAATGGGCTAATCCTAGAGCGTCTCTAAAAAATCTTTCCAGCTGCATATCTCCTGTAAGACAAGAGGTGCCAATCAATTCCATCATTTCTCTGACACAATAGAGTGTTCCTTTAGAATTAAATAACTAAAACAAAAAACATTCTTAGAATAATTTTAAATCATTTTCAAAAAGTGGAAAGAAATGCTATAAACGAAATAATTACTTTTAAGGCAGCACTTTCGAGTTCTACATCTGGATTTTCCGTGGAGTCTAAGAGTGCAGCTGTAAAGTACGATACACTCTCCATTGCATATAAAATTGAACTTATTTTGGACAGCCTTCGCTGAAAAGAAATGAAAAATTACAAAGATTGGAAATTTCAATTTATTTTACGTAAAACATGATTAAATCAAAAAACTGGATTTATTTTGCAGTGCCAAGTTTTTTTTTTTCCCGAGGGAAATTTTTTAAAAAAAGCGGCAGTTTAAAAGACTTACATTTGAAGCAAAGCTAAATTTTAAACTATATATACCATTGTGTTATAAAGAATTATCTGAGTTTTAAATGATTAAGCAATTAAAATATTTTAAAAGTAATTAAACTTTTTAAAAAAATGCCAATTTGTCAAGACTTTTTAAAATAATATAAATTAACAATTCTCAATTTTTGCAAAGTTTTACAAGCTCAAATAATGGAGTGACTGACCAACTTTTTGATTATTAAAAAATTAGAATGCAAACGCTTTACATTTTCACAAAACTGTAGCTTCTCGTCATATTGGCATTTTTCACCATCTTTAGAAGTAGCATAGAGTGCTCTGGTTAAAAATAAGCTAAGCCTGATTTACCAGTTCAGAATATGCATTGCAAATCCATTGCTGTAATGAAAATAGCGTATTATTTTCAAAAAGTCTTATTACATTATGATACAAAGCCTTCGAAAAGTACCAGTTGGTCAGTGCAAATAAGGTATAAAATTAAGAGGTCATTTTGTACAAGGTCTTTGTTAGTTTTCCCCTCCAATTTGAGGATTAAATGCTTAATTAAAGTACAACTTACCCAATCATAACTATAAAACATCTTCTAATCAATCTGTCTAAGCTTTAAAATTTACCGAAAATGAAATGAATAAGCTGTCATGTTATAGCTGGCAATTATAAAGTATAATGATATAAAATTATTGTTTTTTTGAGTTCTTATACTTCTGATTAATGTCAGTTATTTTGGATATATTTCCAGTATGAGTCTTTTGAAACCCTTCCTCCATTTTATACATGAACTTATATATATATATAACGTCGTTGCCGAGTGGAAGGATTAAAACAGGTCTTAGGCAGGGAAGGAGGGTACAAATCATAAAAGTGTGTACAAATAGTTGTGCTCCTCGGTTATATGTTAGGGAAAATCTTGCAAAGTAAATCCGTAAAATGGTTTAATTTAGGGAAAGAGGGAAATCTTAGTAATTGTAATTGGTTTATCAAATAGCTCGAGCGATTCCCACAGAGAGCAAAGGGAAAAGTATCTTGCTTTTAATTAATGCATAGTTGAGCCAAAGATAGATTAAAGGACAGGATGTGAATTTAAAAGTGTGAGAAAGCATTTCGTTTTGAATAATAAAATAAAAGGATTTACAGAAAAGAATAACATAAAAAGATTAATTGAAACTTCTTATGTTATATATATATATGTATATGTAATACAGAAATAATAAATACTTTTGTATTCATAAAAAAATTAAAACTCTTCGGTTTCATAAAATGTCTTTGTTAAAGAGTAAGCATAGAGCTATTCTATTTTGGGAATTCAAGGCTGATAACATACCATTGAATAATAATTAGATTTACATTTGAAAGGAGGAGTTATTTTTAGAATCTTGCCCCTCTTTCACTTCCATATTAGGAAGCATTAAATGATTTTCCATAGCGCATAGAGTTACAATGGCATGTACAGCTGTAACCTAATTACACCAATATCTGTAGTATTTAATGCGGGAGCGATTGTTTTCGCATGTCTCTTCCTGAATAACGTGTTCTTCAAAACATCTGTCGGAACCATCCGGAGTCTTGTCCACTCCCCCTCCTTTGAGGAGGGCAGTTGTGAACTGTTATAACCACCAGCATATCTTTTAATAAACCTTTTGATAACTTATTATGGTTTCGACTGCATTTATTAATATGAATAAACCAATGATAACAGAGATGTAGCCCCGTTATTACATATAGGGGTCTGTCTAGATTTTTTTGAGAGGAACCTATTTTGTGAAAATTATAAATTATAATAAAAAATCAACACAAAAATATGGTAAAGTAAAAAAATATTTTCCAAAATTGTTACTATAAATAAAAATCATTTATGACTGGTAAATCTCTATATATTTATTCTCATATATATAAAAATAATTTTGCTTTTGTAAAATTTTGAGCTTAAAAATTGTGTGCAAATTTAAAAATTCGTAAAAATCACTGTCCATAGTTAAATTATAGTTAAATTTTAACTTGAGTTTAATAAAAACACACATTTAACAGTACTAGCACTAAAAGCTATTTTCATTATGATAACATTTTCAACAAGCTCACACAGAAAAAAATTTCATAGGGAAAAAATGTTTCATAAAAAATAAAGGCCTGTTAGAATAAATTTGGAATAATCTTCAAGACAATATTTGAATTTCGACTTCCTGTAAAGTTTATCAAGGGAGAGCCTCATTGTTTCATTTTAAAAACCTCAGCAAAAAAAAAAGCTCGTTTTGATGTGGTGTAAGCAACTGGTTAGGCTTACCACACCGCACTATCTGACCAAACACGTGCTACCTATTTGTAAAAGACAGCTGGAAGAAAAGCTACTCTTTACTGTAGGGATGAGAACGGGGCTTGCGTGGTATTAGTGCCTTTTCTTCCACTTCCATTAAGGAACGAGCGGCTGATGTTCCTTTTCTCCCACAGCATTTTGGGATCCCGGCATGCTCTCAGCCAGGTACGGGGAGGAAAAACGTTCTTCTTACAAACTAGGTGGGAATGTCATAATAACAATCTGTGGGAGGGTTCCATTGCAAGTTGAAAAGCGTAATTCACCTGGGAATTATCGCTTATTACGGAGATACAAAAACAAAATTTTAGGAGATCAGAGGAGAATTTTAGAACTTGCTTTTTAAAAGTATTTTGTGAAAATACCGTTTTTCCTAAAAATGAATTTGCAAAACCGCTGAACAATAGTAAATGTGCCCAGGACAGACCCCTGATATATATATATATACATAGAAGAGAATGGTAATATTTTGAGAGGCAAGCCAATATAACCAATCAAGCACTGGTTTTAATTGCAGAACCTTTGGTTTTAGTGCTATTAAATACTAAATTGTTTGATAACTAAATAAATAATTTTTGAGGGGGGAGGGGAGAAAAATAAGATTTATGGATAGGTTTATGATAACATTTTTGATAAGTCAAAAAATGTGATATTAAAAATAATAAAAAATTTCTATAAATTAAGGGAAATTTTAGAGATTTTGCAAATGTCAATATTGTAGTTTTGACCTAATTTAGAGAAGCAATGCTTTTAAATAATTCTAAGTAAATCACCATATAAATCAATAATTAAAAAAACAGTGAAAAAATTACAATTAATTTTCTGTAACATTTTTATTTTAGTTAAGACATATATCAAAGCAAGCTGAGTAATTAGTTCAGCTTTAGTAATTATTTAGCACAGCTGTATTCTATTACTTCAATTTTTCATACAGAGAAAAATTTAACACACAATTTTTTTCAAAAGTTGAAGATATCTTGGATTGTTAAAAATATCAAAATGAGGCATTGTTTTAAATTTAAAATTTATTTTAATTATACATTATGCTTAAGATACATTTAAAATAAAATATAAGGCTGGTTTTACAGTTGAGTTTGGATACTTTAACAATTAGTAAGAAACAGTGCATTTTAAGAAAAAATGTAACTAGTTATCCTTAATTACTAACCCTAATTAATTGTTTATCAGCCATAGATTCGCCTAATCTTTCTGTGTGAATAACTCGTTCAGTAATAGCATCTGAAAAACATAGTATAATTATAACTACAAAGAAAATAAATTTATATCTGATTTACAAGAAAATAAATATTGATGAACAGTACAATACTTTTTAAAGGGGCGGATCCAGAAATTTTTTCAGGAGGGGGTCATAGACTCCGATCCCCCTACAATTAATTTTTTTTATAAAAGAAATTTTTCTTAAATATTTTTTTCAAAAAAAAAAAATAAATAAATAAATAAATAAAACTGGGGTTTTTAATGCTAGGCTTCTCACTTATTTTTTTCATAATGAACAATACATAAATAATTCAAGTATTCAACATCTTTGAATCGAATGTAATGCGTTGTTTAGAAACTTCTCAAATCTGTCAATGTTTTTTTAAACATCCAAATCAATTTCTCGATGAATATTTAATAATGTGAGTTCATTTAACCGTTCTTGATTTTGAGTCGCTCTAAGCCAAGTTTTGAGATGTCGAAGAGTTGAAAAGGAACGTTCTGCTGTTGCCGCACTAACTGGCAGAGTTATAAAAATTCTCAACAACATATTGATTGATGGGTAGAAATCGATGTCACATGCATTAATAATCTTCTAAAGATCGTTGGGCACTTCAAGTCCTGCTTCTGCTTCACGCTGCCAATTTGTTTTGACAACTTTTACGGAAGCATTTAAGAGATTCTTATAAAACTCGGGAGTTTCACAAATGGCTATAAGATCTTCTTCTGCAACAGTTTGACAAGGTAAAAAAACTCGCAGATCAAAAAGTTTTATCACATCTGGGGAAAGTCTTTTCTTTCTTATTTCTTTTGTAAATTATTAAAAAAATTATTATTTAAATTTTTTTTCTGGGGGTGGGGTCATGACCCCTATTACCCCCCTCCCACACTGGACCCGCCACTGACTTTTTATAGACATATTTCAATGCAAAAGACATAATCAAGGAATGGTTGAGGTAAGATACGTGCAATTTTCAGAAGTATTATAATGTGAAGTTTTTACTTGCGTTTATAGATTGAAAAAAAAAACAAACATTTTACAATAGTCTGATGCATTCTACAAATTTTTCACTAGCATTTAAATTTTTCATATTTCTTTTAATTTAAATAAAATACAGCATTTCTACCAACAAAAATAACACAAGCAATATTTTTATTATTTTCTCTAAGTAGTTCCTGTCTGTCATTCTAACTCTCTAAACAACCTCACAATTTAAACCTCATCTTATGAATACTCCGCCAAGGCAAACATCTCACACTACATAAAATTTTCAAAAGCTCCAACATTCCTTGACAAATAAAACCATTAAATACTCTCTTAATCAGACACAGAGAGTAATTCACATTTAAAAAAGGTCCTCCAAATCTTTTAAAGGCCAACTAAAAATTGACCTTAATTTGCATGTTTTGAAATTAATAAAATCATCTTCAGAAAAGATCTAAAACAATGTTTCACTACAGCGCGAGAATCTCGCATATTTTTTTATATTTTCGCATTAAAAAATGATTATTACAAGAAATTTGCGCATTCTATAAACCAATTTCAAAATTCGCGAATTTCTCGCATTTTGAAAAAAATTTCTCATTTGTGCCATTTAGAATAAAATCCGTTTCACTTTTCTTCCTGGATCTTTCATTATTTTCAACATCTGCCCCATTATCTAGCTTCCCTATTTACCAGTATTGTTCAGAACCTTTAAGAACAACATAACACCATCTTTCCGAACCACGGAACCTCTTTCAGAATGCATTTCTCTGCAACCACGTGTTTGCCATAGGTAAGGTTTCTTCATGTAAGACGTTCAAATTTTTTGCTCGTTAATGTAAGATGGAAAAATACCTTGTAAAGCCAATATCCTCTACTCCGAAACGTACAAATGAAAATGAAACAAATGTGGGTAGAAACGATCAAAACGAAACAAATACGCATTTGAGCAACCTAATGAGAATAGCGGACGAAAAAGTAGATGTAGAACATTTTCCATATGATGATGCAGCAAAAATATTCAATGCTTTAAAAATTAGAAGATGTTAAAAATGCATTATAATTAAAGAAATGACTTTTTTTTCCAAGTATCTTTGTGATTTTTTTTTTTTTTTTTTAATTTTTGAAATCTCACTTAACTTTTTGAAATCTCACCCTGTTTTTGAGAAAGGGTGAGAAATTCTCACCCATTTTTTTTCTGAGATGAAAACACTGATTATGTAGTCAAAATTACCTAAGAGAGCTTTTAGAGTTCCAAATGTAAATGTGTTTTGTGCTATCCTGAAGGACTCAAGGGATTTTAAATAGACCTGTGGGAAAAGCAAAGATATAATACTGAAGATTAATAATATTGAATATTAATAATATTATTATAAGATTAATAATATCGAAATATATTTTGATAATACAAAAATATTTTAACTCACTGAAAATCCATCTCCATCGCTCCCAATTAAGTTTGAGGCTGGAACTACTACGCCTTGGAATTGAACTATTCCAGCTGAAAGAAAATTTTGATATTAAGATTTTAAATTGGACTACAGCAAAAAAAAAACAGAGTTTTTGTAATGAGTTTCGAAATTTGACTAGTTCAGTCAAAATAGATTTTTTATGTTAAGGGGCACTTACATGTATTAACTTCATCCTCAAAGTTGTAAACTGATTTTTTAGCAATACTTTTTTTTCTTTCCCAATACAAATGACTAAGATATCAAAATTACATAGTTTAATAATTTTTCAAATTCTGTAACATTAATGCACAAAAAAAGAACTAGTCAAAAGTTTAAAATTTTTACCAATCAAAGGAAATTATATTGCTAAATAAAAAAATATCATCTTAAATATCTCTAGAATTTTAGTTTTCAAAGATTTTTTTTTAAAAAAAGAGAGAAAATAACTTCACTGCATGGAATTAGACAATGGCATTTTTTTCCCAGTAGTTTCATGCTCTTCATGTATCAATAGAGAATAAAAATAATTATGAGCATATTCATATGTTCATGACATTTTTATTGAGAAGTATTAAATATAATTCAATGTAAGATATAATTTTTATTGTTACTATTTCACACAAAGTAATTTTTTTATTGTTATTATTTCACACAATAACTAATAGAGTTCAAAATTTGCTAAATTTATAAAAATGAGCTAAACATAAAATATTCTAAAAGGTCTAATTTTGTATTGAAGTAATAATAGGCTATTCCTTTTAGAAACAATGATTATTCCCTTAGGTGCCAGGAAACCTAATACAGAATAAATGGAATGCAAAACTTTAGATATCTAAAATATTCGAAAAAAATTAAGATAGCAATTACACATTATAGCACGCCATGACAATCATGCACTGAGAACTAGTCTTTTCCTTAGTCTTTTCTTTATACAATTCATAGACAAAACAAAAAATCAAACTTACTCGTAACAAGGAATATAAACATCAACATTTAAGACAAGGTTAAAAATAGCAGCAATAAAGAAGAAAAAAAATATAAAATTGAAAAAAATAAATAAAAAAAGGCAATACCCACTGTCAAGTCCCTTCAGGCATGTTTTATGTTGTCTCGATACTTTGATGCCATCAGAGTTCCCATCCACAATGAATGCAGATATCGTGTTTAAATCGGGATCCTAAATTAATGAGTACGATCAGAGCTGATCTCAAACTGATCAACATCCATTTGATCATTAGTTAAAATTATTATAAATAACATCAAAATTATAGTAAAAAAAAAAACAGCATCATGCAGAAGTCAATCAATTTAAAATTGATATATAGGCTTAAGTATGATCTATAGGCATAGTATGAAGTACATCTTAAGTTTGAAGTACATCTTAAGTATGAAGTACACATCAGTATGAAGTACATCTTAAGTATGAAGTACAATTCTTAAGTATGATCTATAGGCTTAAGCATGCTATTTATGTCATTCGAATAGTCTAACTGGGGATTATTAAAGTTAAAAAAAAATTGATAACTAATTAAAATCATTGAAGTCTTGAAATCATTTTAAGAAATGAAAAATAAAAAATAATTTTAATAAAAGAAATTAATTTATAAAAAATGATTTAAAATTTTAAAAAAAGTTTGTTTTTCAAGTCCGTCATTTTAAAACAAAATATGACCTGTAGGTGAAAGAAAAAAAATAAATAACAATGAAGTTTTAAAATCATATTTAGGAAATGAAAAAAAAAATTTAATAAAAAAGATGTTACTTTTCGTCGAAGAAAAATGATTTATATAAAAATGAAAATATAAAAAAACTGGTTTGTGACTCCTCCTTTTCAATGTAAGCATCAAAAGATATCTAAATCATAAAAGAAGATTTCCAATAGAATTAAAAAAAATCATTCATTTCACAAAGCTGTTTTTATTAACATGCACATGAAGGTTTGTTATGTTGCACACAGATTAATTAACAGTTTTGGTATAACAATAAAAAATATCTGTAGAAAAATTAACAAGAATAAATCAAAAGAGTTATAATAGACTCACCAATTTGCATTAATGTGACTTTTATCTTAAAATATGAACTTTTAAGCATAGTCAATTATATTTAGTGTAAAAATTATTACATATTAACAGAAGTAAATAAAATCATTCAATCATTATAAGATTGCTTTTAATTGAAAATTTTATTGCCAGCTTTCTAAATTTTTACAGTAAAGGTTTAATATGATGAGTACAGCATATTATGAATCCATTATTATGACGAATTCAAAATGTATTGCATTTTATTTGATTTTCTTCTTGCAAAACCTCTTTCAATTTGGTAACTTATTGTTCAAACATTCCCGCCCGTTATTGTGAAATATTTCAAAAACAATTAAATGACATATTCTTAGAAATAACAAACTAGAAGAGATAAGCAGTTTTGCCTATCTTGGAAGTATAATTAACAAAGGAGGAACTGATGAAGATATACTAAATTGAATGAACAAATCCTGAAGGAATTATGCAACTCTCAATAAATTCTGAAAAAACAATATATAACAAATTCAACAGAAATTAGAATTTTTATTATTAAAGTTAAATCTGCCCTATTCTATGCATCTGACACATAGCATTGCAATAAAAATAATATGAAAAAACTTCAAATATTAATTAACAATAGTTTAAGAAGACTCTTGCATGTTAAGTGGCTGCATAAAATTAATAATGCAGAAGTTCTTAGAACAGCAAAACAGAAATAATTGAACAGGTAATTAAAAATACTAGATGGAAGTGGATTGATCAAGTTCTACACAAACCTGAGAAAGTTAATAAAGTAAAACACATTTTGAGCCCTCACAGCAATAGAAAAAGAGGGAGACCTTAAAATGCATGGTGAAGGGCAATTATAAATGAATTGAAATCAATAAACAAGATATGGAAAGAAGCAAAATATATAATCACAAATAAAATGAAAAGGCGAGGTATAATAAACGCCCTATGGTACAATTTTGAGAGAAGAAGAGTATGTATTCATGTATTGTGAAATGTCAGTATAATGTACTGTACTGTATTTCAAAAAAAAAAAAAAAAATTTAAAATTACAGAATAATACATACCACTGGATTTTCTGATTTTGCGAAAACAATAAACACACCTGCTCTACCAGCATTGGTTACCCAGGTCTTAGTTCCATTAATTAAATAGCTATCCTCTGATACTTTTTCTACAGTTGTTGAAATTGAAGACAGATCACAGCCACTGAAATAATATATTCTGTAATATTTCTACGCATCATCACGGGGAAAAGAGCATTAAATCAATCATTAAGATATTAAAAATAATACAATGGAAACTGCCGTATCCAGAATTAGCAGGACTTCGGCAAACCTTGAAAATAGATTTTTCTGTATAGTAGGTCTTTTAGGTAAACAAACATAACAAATGTTAATCAAACATAAAAAAATAACAAATCATCAATAATTAACGTTAATTTCATACAGCAACATTTTTTTATTGGATGAAGAAAATAAATAAAAGTGGGAAGACATTAAATAGTTTGTACAGATATATAAAAGATCAGATTGACAAAGGATCATGTGCACAATTTTGATGAAATATTTATAGGAAACCTTTTTTTCCAGAAAAAGGTTAAAAGCTTCTGTTGTTCACTATCATTGGAAATAATGTTTTGCAGAAACCTCAAATGTTGGAGTAAGAATGGTATCTTTTGTTTATTTACTACCAATATTAATTGCTGTAGACATTATTTATAATGCATCAAACTGATGTCGTATTTCAATAGTTTTAAAATGAAGTTGCTTTATATGGTTATTTTAAAAGAATAGTAAGTAGTAGAAATAAGGTAAGATTTTTTAATTATCCTAAATATAATTAAAAACTATATCATTATTTTATATTTTTTAATTATCCTACATATAATTAAAAACTATATCATTATTTTATATTTTTATCAACACAAATTTACAGATTCAGCAACTTATATCTTTGAACTAGAAAATAAAAACTTTCATATTTATTAAAATATAAAAAATAGATTGACATTTTATCTTCGAAAATAACATATAATATAACCTCATGAAACCTGTAATTAGCATCATAACATTAATTTACGAGCAATCAATTACTCGTAATCAAAAATTATTATTATATATAATCTTATTTCCATTTTATTAATTATTATGATTATAATAAATCTGGTTAATTATGCATATTTTTAATGATGATTTTTATAATAATGGGTGATTTATTAACGTTTAAATTTGTCCAAATCTGCTAAAAATTTAAAAGAAAGTTAAATACAAATTAAAATAATAATATGATACTTAATTAGTGCTGTGTGTGCTTATTTTATTATATAATATTAACTGTACGACAAAGGATGATTTATATTATTCAATTTAATTTAATAATAACACTAACAGTAAGAAAGTATTTAACCCTTTGATGGTTATGAACAAGCTCGGCTCGCAATCGAATCGTGCATCATAATGCGCACAAACGAGATCCGCTCGGGAGCACGATTTTGACCGAAATGGTTAGAAACGAGCCCTACTCATTTAGTGAAATTTTTCCCAAATGCGCGCTGACGAGCTGAGCTCGTTCGCCATTATTATTCTGCATTGATTATGTTACAAACGAATCCTACTCGCGAAATGCAGTTAGTTTTACTGTCTACAGATGGCAGTATGGGTTCCATGAAATTCTTTTCATAATGAAGATGAAATTTTTTTTTTACCATAGTCTTTTTATGCGTATTATGGCGCATTTTTTAGGGTGTTTGTAAAGTAAAATGGCTCAAAAGCGAAAGTTAGATATTTATGATGATGATTATGATTGTTAAAGATTTTTAGGTAATTACTGCAATTTTTTTATAGGTTGTACAAAAAGATTTTTATTTAATTACTGTATTTAAATGCTTCATAAAGTTTTACATTAGTTGTATTTATTTAGTCTTTTCAATTTAATATTTGTCTTATATTTATAATTAACTATTATTTATATAATTGTTTATAATTTACTATTTAATAATTATTTTAAAGTACATAAAAACTGTTATTTATGTACTACAAATACTTTAAGAAATTCTTAAAACGCTTGAGGCGAGCTATCTACGGCATCGCCAGAGAACGACATTTTCGAAAAAATGGCGGGGGAAAACAGCCGCCACTTTCGACTACTGTTTACTCGTAATACTGCGTGGATTAAGTGAACAAAACCTGCTTACTTCCCTAACCATCAAAAGGTTAAGGTTGGTTTGCATGAAATGGCAGATTTCTAAGTGAATATGTAAAACCGCATATTTTTTTTTGAAAGCATTTATTTAACCAAATCGTCTTCCATTTGCTTCAATGCACTTTTTCCAACAAAATTTTAATGCATAAATGCCTGTTTTTAAAAAAAAATATTCCGATCCTTGTAATCAATAAATGCTAATATGTAATTTCTCAGACTGTCTTCATTTTCTTACTGTTTAACCTGTAAAAACTGATCTAAATGTTTAAAAAAATGTAAGACGGTTGGTCAAAGATCTGATGCAGATAGAACAGTTTTCACAGGCTAAACAGAATGAAAATGAAAATAATCAAAAAAATCCCATAATATAATTGATTGTATAAAACGAACATCTTCACATTAAAATCTTATTGGGAAAAGTGTATTGAAGCAAATGGAGCATATTTAGATTAAGCAAACAGGTTTTGAAAAAAGATATGCAATTTTATGAATTCATTTAAAAATCCGACATTTTATACATTTTTACTTAATAGTAAATTCAGATAAATAATTTTCTAAATTTTGAAATTAAAGTCACAGAAAAATAAATACACATTAATTTTATTGTAATTTAAAATTACAAATTGAAAATAAAACAAGAAAAAATAATCATTAAGCCATACAAGAAAATTTAATTTTTAAAGTAATTGAAGTTTCTTTAACATGTAATCAACAATATTTAGCAAAAAAAAGTTATATTAATTAGCAAAAGAAAAGAAAGAAAAAAACTACTGAGAAGTACCTATTACTTTCTGAACAACAGAATGCTGCTATTAGTTCTCCAGATGCTAACTTAGGAAAATAACGACTCTTTTGTGCTTCAGACCCAAATTTCAATATTGCCTAAAATATTTGAATAAAAAAGAAATTAATTTATTTATAGCTACAAATATACAAAATAAAACAGAAGTTGACTCCAACCTCTATAAGCTTCAATGATAAGAATGCATGAGAGAAATTGATAAGAAAAAAGGTAAAAGCTGAAATGTAATATTAGAAAGAAAAAAAATAAAAAAACCATGTGACAATAATTAACATGTTGCACACAGGTTACATATTTTTATGGGTTTTTTAATTGGAGACTTACTAAATGATCATAAAAAAAAAGAATTATTACACAATTATTTATTTGACAATGAGAGTAAATATAGGAGTGAATTTTCTCCCAAAATATTTGAAATTCTAGACAAAAAAAAAAAAAGAAGGAAAAGACAGTCAATGCATACATACATGCATTGTGTGAACATAATGATCTGAAATATATACATACACATAAGGAACTAAAAATAAAAATGTATTTAAAGTTTCATTGAAAAACCAAAATATAAGGAGGAAAAAATGTTTAAAACTTTTTATCATAAAACAAAATGTGCAAAAATAAAATAAAATTATTCATTTATGAGTTACCAACAAACAAAGAGATAAAATAAATGTGAAATCTCATAAGATTATTACTTCAGTTGCTAAAAATTCATGAGCTGCTATTGTACTGAAAAGTGACCAGTCTAGTCCAAGGGCTTCATTTAAACGAGTACATGCTGTATAAGAGAGATCAAGACCCCCTGAAAAAAAATAGATATTTATTAAATTTTAACTTTGACTCTAAAATAAATTAAAGCTTACATTATAAAATAAGTAAAATTAAATTTTGACTTAAAAATTTAATTATTTGTCATATTAAGTTTTGATTAATTTTTTCAATTTTGGACTTAATTATTTCATATTACAGAATTTGTTTAAAATTATAAATGGTGATTTACTACTAAAAATATTTAGAACTTGAAATTTATTTTTTAAAATTATTTAGGTAGATATAAATGTCAAAAATTAATTAAAAAAAAGGTTCCACAGCAATGGTTCTCCCGACTTAGGGTGGCGCTGTAGTTTGTGTGTGTTGTTGATTCAGAGAACTATGCCGGCAATATCTTTACTACTGGTCACCAAGGCAGAAAGATCGAAGCGGTGACATTAGACAAACAAGGAACAACCTGGTCCTCAAGGTTGAAGGTATGGCGTGGGGCTGACATCTCCATCTGGTTTAAAAACCTCACCTTTAAGAAACCCAATGAAATACTTTACCTGTTTTAACAAAGCCACAGAAACAAAGAAGAGGATGACCCAAGGCGAATTTGCTGTGGAAATATGAAGTTAAGATAATCTTTGGTATCTTAAGGGTTAAGAACTGAGAGACCATTAGTACCCAAAGTGTTGCTTGGAATTCTCTTCAAAGGAAAGCCTAGGCCCACCTTGAGCTAGTGTGCCGAAAATGACGAAAAAAGTTAAATTTTGATAATTTTAAGTAATTAAGACTAAATCTACTTTTGGAAACTAAATTCTTGAGTCAAAAAAGATTCATCAAATAACTGTATAATTATTTAACACTAATAAAATATGGGTAAGACAATATTTTGAGATCTTAAATTGTTAAAAAAGAAAAACTCATAATCTACATGATACACAACTATTAATTGTGTTACAATACTCTACTATCTATTACCAATGATGTTATCAATATAGTACTACTAACAATAGCAATGTCCTACAACACACAATGCAAGTATAAGAGAGAGAAGATCGATATTAACATACTGTGAAAGAATAATGGTTCAACTATGATAGTTTAATATATTTCAACATATTAACCAAAATTACAAACATTCATAACTATTAAAAACAACTAAATCAGTTTTAGAAGAAAAAAAAATTATAATAAAATTGAGAAGTAAAAATTTTAGATAAGCTTTTCATTTTCTTCTATTAATTTTTAAAACAAAACTATATTATTAATAAGTCCATAATAATATAAAATACTTTGGGAAAAGGTCACTTTAAAAGTAAATTTCAATAACATTCTATTAGTAAACTATAGAATATATATATCTTAAAATCAATACAAATACTCAAGTATTTATAAAATAAGAAATGAAATACAGTGATTTATGATAAAATAAATCAAAATAGTAATTACCATACTAACAATGGACGTGAATTATTACTTGATTAATAAAAGGAGACAATGCAATCAAACACAATGTAAATGATTTGCAATAAAATAAGAAACAAAACAAAATTAATTGCTCATTGCAAATAATTTTCTAAAATATTAAAAACTATTTGAAAATTACTAAAATTATTATTATTATTATATATATACAGTCAGACCTCAATATAAGGTCATCCGCATATAAGGCCACCTTTCCAAAGTCACGGCTCACTGAATAGGAATTCTTTGTTACAGATTATGGGATATATGGTAAAGTTTTAAAAATCGTTAACGCTTATAAGGTCATTTTTATCTGAGGCGAGGGGAGCTCTCTTCTAACAAAAGCCTATTTAACTTCCTTACAAGGCAATTACTCCTCTCGAGTTCTAGGAAAATGTTGCAGTCAACGAACAAGCTACACTTTCTGAAATTGTTTCACAAGTTGTGGACAGTAAGGACAATGACATTGATCCTGAGACTGTAGCTTTAACCTAAGTTGAAGCTTTCAATGCAATGAATGTCAGACGATATTTTTTTATAAACCATGAGGGGGCTGAGGAACATTTTGAGAAGTCACAAAATCTAGAAAACATTGTTTTTAAAATGAAACCAAAAACAAGACAGACCTGCATAAATGATTATTTTAAATAAGGTAAGATGCAATGTATGTATGTACACTTTGAGGAAATTTGTAAATTTATATTAAACTAAAAAATTTTTAAACCTAACTTTCTTTAATTCTTTGCTAATTCTGTCAAAATTTATTGACTTAAATATTTAATTTATGGCCGATCATTTTAGTTTGTATTACCGTCTGTAAAAAATCATAATGTGTACTATTTATGTGCTTAGTTACGAGCTGCTAATGAATCAGTTAAAAGGTCACCCCACTTTTAAGGTCACTTTTGAGATGTCCCTTTGGGTGACCTTATATCGAGGTCTGACTGTATATATATATATATATTAAGTATTATATAACATCTTGGAAAATTATTATATAAAAAATATTATATAATAATTTTAAAAATAATCTTATAGAATATGAAGCATGTAAATAAAAAAATAAAAAGAGCAATTTTTAAAAAAAATAAATAAATAATTTAATTTCATGTATACTATTATTTACCGTATTTTGATGGAATCATTCTTCCAAACAGGCCCAAATCTTTAAGTTCTTGCAGCAAAGATTCAGAAAGTGAACAAGATTCGTCTATTTCAACTGAATTTACTAGAATAAAAGAGAGGAAAATTAAAAAAAAAAAAAAAAGATAAGTCAGTAATGTAAGGAATGTGGATGGCCTATTTAGAATGGTATTTATAAAATGGCTATCTTTTCTTTTTGCCAATTTATTTTTTAAATACAGAACTTAATTTATAAAGAGGATAAACTTACAAAAGTGGCCAAACTAACAAATTTCACTAAATCTATATACTTACAAGATTCTTAAACCAAGCAGTCATTAAAGCAACAAATTAATAATCATAATTAAGATCTAGGTCCACAAGAATCGGTATTAAAAAAACTAGCAAAAGCTATGCTAGCAATAATTTTTATTGAAGACAAAAACAGTATCTAAATTAAAATATTTGCTTATTAAAAAGAATTCTTTTGCCATTACACAATAGAAATAAATTATAATAAGGTTTTGATCATGGGAGAAATTTTAATACAAAATTGACTTGCTAAAAAATATATTGTGTAAGTGGTGGAAGCATGTATAGTAAAAAGTACAACCTGAATAAAATGACATAAAACATAATAGCAATACAAGCTGGAAGTAATTTCTATCAATAGTACCAAGTTCTCAAAGTAATAATTTTTCTTTAGTCTAAAGTAAAGAGGTAAGACATAATAATTGTACAAAATAATCTAATAAATTAAAACCTCAAAAATTAATGGATTCTTAAATTTTGAACCAGTTAGAATTTTTTATTCTAGTGGCGAGTGTTTTTTATGAATAAAGCTAAGTAACATAAAAAAAGAACTTTCATTTCCTTGGATGGTATTTTTATATATTTTTTTTCATGTTAATTAGCTTTAATCACTAGATTTTTGATAAAACAATGTTTATTTCTAAATGTACAGCAACAACTGAAGGATGGATAATACAGATTATTCAACAGTATAGGGAACTGGATTATAGGGTCATATTCCTCTAATTTGCATACTTCCCATTATATCAAACTAGTTTCTATTAAGTTATTCAGTATGAAAACAGCCTGAAAACAATTCTCTGAACTATACCAGAAATTGAAGTATAATTTGATGAATAATAGACTCTAGATTAAAAAGATACATAGCATTTAGAACTATTTTTCATTTTCCACTTTAACTAGCACTTATTCAACTATTATCAAAATCTTTTGCGGAAACTTCCCATGCTTTTAAAAGCAACATAAATTTTGAGATTATAATTAAAAACAATAAATTCTTAAATGGTCAATTCCAAGGTAACGGACATGGCATCAGACAACTTTTTTTTTGCCCAATTTCAGTTAAATATAAAGATATCTTAACAAATTTTGCACACTTTTATATACTTTACATTTGAAAATAATGCAAAACATTTGCTTCTGGAGAAAACATTTTAATTAATAAAATAAAAATATGTCGTGGGAGACATGACAAAAAACAGGCATGGAGACAGAGTGTCTTAACCAGTATATAACTTTGGTTCAGAAATTTCTGTAATTTAATAATTTCTGTAATTTCTAAAATTTAAAAAGAAAGTACTTCTTTTAAAAGAAATACTTACTAGTATGACAGACATGGCAAGGAGTTGTGACAGATATGAGAACTTAAGACAGTTAGCTTGATTTAACTATTCATAAAAAATATAATTATTTTAATATAATGCTCTATATTGTTCTTCTCATGAAATTAAAACTCTTTTTATTCAGCTTTAGTACAAAAAAAGTTTATTTTGATAAAATTTGAAAAATGATAACAGACATGACACCTGTCTGTATTTCAAGAAATTGAAAAAAATTTATACTAAGATTGATATAAAATTTTTTACAAGTATAATTTAATTAGCTCAAAATGAATGGATCATATTTTTTTATACCTTTTGATTTCATTATATCACTGAGATTCTGTACAGATTTTTCTAATTCTGTAACTTGTTCTTTATCAAGAATTTCAGGAAAAGCCAGAAGTTCCTAAAAAAATAAATAATAATTTGATATAAAATTAAATTTTTAAAATGATATGACACTGTTAAAAAAGCAAAAATATTTTATGTCCTGTGAGCTTTTCTTTTCATAAATTCTCTCCCCCCCCCCACCAAAAAAAAGTGTTTTTTTATTTATTAGAAAATATAGGATTGACTAAATATTTAAGACAGAATTTATTGTTAGAATTATAAAGCAATATTGTAAATATGTTAGAGTTTTCTATGCTTCCTCAACTGCAATTGAAAAGTTGTTTCAACCCAGTTCTTGTAATTTTATTTTATAACCATCGTTGAACAGCCAACCCAACTTTTGGTTTACAACTATTAATGCTCAACTCCGTAGCCTTGTAATTTTGAACTCATTTCAGAAGACAAGGGAACTCCTGGATATTGGGAGAAATTTGCCTTCATGGAGGACTTTTTTATGGAACTATCGCATTTGCATTACACGGAGAGAAAAATCTCAAAACGGTTAGCCTGACAACAAGGAGACTCTAACCCATGATCCGTCTACCACTGAGGATATTTTACATCAGCATTGTGGTCGGTGCAAACCGTATGCAGAATTCATATCGACCAGACATCGCTGGGACTTAAACTTGGTTCACATCATTGGAAGGCGAAAGCTCTATCCCCTGAGCCATCTCGACTAGCAGTTCATGTAGGTAATTGAAATAAATTAAAATCAAATATGTTATGATTGCCACGAGGTGATTCAGACTTTACAATTTACATTTGCTACAAGAGAACGCCATATTGCCATATCCTGGCTATTTCTGTAAATATCAATGTTCTTCATTTACTTATTACATTAATAAAATGCAAAATATTATAATGCCAGATAATGAATAATAATTCATTCAATATACTTAGTAAGAACTGCACCAAGTATGTCAATAAAAAATTGATTGATCACTTAATTAAATATATACCAAAATGTTATAAGTAAACACATTTTTCATAAAAAAACCATATGCATTTAAAAAACTAGAACTGAAAAATTACAATTTTATTAGCAAATTGATATTTCTACGGCTGGAAATTTTATCATTTTAAAGAGTCAGGGGTCTGTCTAGGTTTTTCTGAGAGGCACCTATTTTCTGAAAATTTAGACATAATTTGTGAAAAATTAAAAATTATATTTAAAAGTCCAACACAAAAATATGGCAAGAATATGGATTTATCATTTCTTAAGGAATACAAAAATAAAATTTAAAAAAAAAGTATTTCGTGAAACTACCGTTTTTCCTAAAATTAAATTTGTGAAACTACCGTTTTTCCTAAAATTGAATTTGTGAAGGTACCGCTAACGGTAGTAAATTCGGTCTGGACAGACCCCTGAGAGTGATAATTAAAATTATTGAATGAGAATGGAAAAAACTAGGACAATATCTAGAGATGCTAATTTATGCAGAAATTAAACTTTAAGACAATAAATTATACATAAATGAATTAAACTTATAACATAAAAATTAAAGGAGTTTGTATAGCATTGAAAATTAGTTGAGTATCAACTTACAGTATCAAATTTACCCAGGAAAAAATTTTTCAGAAATGGAGGTCTTTTCCATTTGGTAATAGAGGGCTTAGAGACATGAATCTTTTCTTGAGTCACTAATTCTTCTGCATGTGCACTCGCAGTAGAATACTTTAATGAAGAAATTGCAGGAGCAAAATTAAATTTTTTACAACCCTTAAATGCAGATTTAGTCTGCTTTAAAACAGGCCATAAATATTTCATTGATGGCTCCATGGAATCTGAAATAAAAATACAGACAATGAGAATGATATTTTGAATTAAATAATTAAACTATTGTAATACTTATGTTTAAGTTTAATTTAAGTACTACTAAATTATTCGTGCAGTAAAAATTGCGTTCTAATTTATCGACACCATTGAGGCTTAATAGTTTTATTGATCTCTTCTCCCATAAATGGAGTAATAAGTTTCATAGTTTGTTTTAGATAATGTGCCTCTGTGGAAAACTCTATTTGAGGAAAACTCTGAGCATTTCTGTAGAATATTTATATTAGAGCAGTTTGAAATGATAATGTAACAAATGGGAACAATAAAGAATAATAAATAAATAAAAAACATGAAAGGGACATTTGCATTAGAGAAGTTTGAAAATATCATCAACTTTGGGAACTACGAACTACAGCTTTGTGAAATTCTTGCTTAGGAAACCAATGAGAATTCTTTTCTGTAGAATACTTAGAGCAGTTTGGAGCACAAATATGGGGGAGATTTATAAATCAGTCACTATTGATGCAAACTACTATTTTTTAACTGCGGAAAATTATAAATAATTAAAAAAAAACAAAAACAGTGCAATGGTTTGACTGAGGATGGATGAGTCAAACCCTTCTAATAGGTCCCTTTCGGTGTCGATATTTTGTAATTTATAGCGAGCCCCTTGGCCGATTGTGGATCGAATTTGGCATAGTTGCTGACATGTAATCTAGCCCGAACATGAAGAGTTGGGGGGAACTTTTGCTATAGTTGTCTTTGAGAAACACATTATTTAAATTCTTTCATGCAAAATATACTTATTTTTAAGCTGTTTGGAGCAAAAATGCAAGGGGGTTTCAGGGAACAGATGAATTGGATCAGTTTGAAAAACTATCACAGCATTGCTAATATTAGAGATTTTAGTTATACCATATTCTAGTATTAAATGAAGCTTTGTCTTAAGAATGTGAACTATATATTATTAAAGAAAAATCATTAAAAAAGCTGAGACCAATGTAATCCAAAATTGATGTAACAGCTTAACCCGGCGTTTTTAAAATATTGATTATTTATACATTTTTACAATATAATTGATTACATTCTAATTTTTTTAAAAATAATTTAGCAGAGTAAAAAGTATCAAACTTTAAAAAGTCAAGTACTTACTTAAATAATACTTAACTAATTATAAATAAATCTTTAAAACATTTTGCATGCCCTTCTAATTTCAAAATAAACAAATATAAAATCTCCTGGTTACGATTTTAGCTTTGATCTCACTGAGAGAGACTTCCACAGCCAAGGGATTTGGATTTTCGGGATCCGACCTGAGAGATTAATTCTGACTGACACGACGAATTCAAGGTGACGCCATTCTCTTTGCATCTGATTCGCTTTTGATCTTATGCTAATGCTATCGGAATGGTGGGCTATCGGATCCAGTTAGAACCACCCTTGAGCTTTCTAGAAAGCCAAAGCAAAAACATTTTTTCCGTAAAGTACTTCTTTTTGTTCTGAATGTAAACAAAAAATTGTTTTGAAGTGGTCTTTCCTTTGCTGTTGTTCATTTACGTCGCACTAGAGCTGCACAATGGGCTATTGGCGACGGTGTGGGAAACATCCCTGAGGCTGATCCGAAGACATGCCATCACAATTTTGATCCTCTGCAGAGGGGATGGCATCCCCGCTTCGGTAGTCCGACGACCTGCACGTGAAGTCGAGCACTTTACGGTAGAACAGTTTAACGAGGACCAATACCGCACACCCTCGGTTCCTACGCAGACTGATCCAAGTGGTCACCCACCCGCACAAAAATCAGTCCACTGCGGGACCTTTCCTTTTTTTTCAGTTATGCACAAAGCAAAGATTACTGAGTAATAAAACCAGTTGAAGCTGAAGCTCTTTCACTGCCGAGGGTCCCACAGTGGACTGATCGTTAAGACACGGTTCCCAGAAGATCACCGAAGTCAAGCATCACTGGCTGCGGTCAGTGAGTGGTAGGGTGACCACTTGGATCAGTCTGCGTAGGGACCGAGGGTGTGCGGTATTGGTCCTCGTTAAACTGTTCTACCGTAAAGTGCTCGACTTCGCGGCAGGTCATCGGGCTACCGAAGCGGGGGTGCCTTCCCCTTTGCTGAGGATCAAAATTGTGATGGCATGTCTTCGGATCCTCCTCAGGGATTCTTCCCAGACAGTCGCCAATAGCCCATTGTGCAGCTCTAGTGCGGCGTAACTGAACAAATCAAATCAAATCAAATTCACTGCTGAGGAGATCCCCTTATTTATGAGGCAAACATAAACATTCAAACCGAAACGGTTAAGAGACTCATTGGCGTTGTGTATTATAATCTTGTATTGTATTGTAATCGATATTGATATGTATTGTAATCGATTTTAAACTAACTTCCCGACTAGCTACAAACTTCAAATTTGGCACATAGTTCAGAATTGGATGACAATGCATGAAAATGAAGAGAAAAAAGACATACAAAGTAACATAAAATTAAAATTTAAAAAAAGTCATTTTAAAGTCAAGTCGAGATTGTCTTTTGTTGTCGATTCCATTATTTCAAATTAGTATTACATGTCAGGTGAAAAGATTTTTATTGTCGGAGTATTTTTATTGGCTGAAAAATCACGTGGTAGGATCCAGTTTTTCCTCATTCATTTCAAGATTGTTTTGGTTGTCATCAGCATAAAACTAATGAAAGTCGTAAAGGTATTGTTTTTCTATTCGCGATCGCAACGAACTATAGGGGGCGTTGTTGTATGAGACGCTTACCTGCGATTTCTATATGAACCGTCATTCAGTTACTCTGGAGACGTCGTTAATGTAGCGTGTAGCATTGCAACGTTCCTTCTTTAATGTGGCTTATTAAATTTAAAAAAGAAAAATGCTTGATCTTCTTTCTTGTACAACCGAAAACAAAATGGTATCTCTTTTTATTAGAGAAGGAATATCCAAAACACATCGGAAAAATATTTGTACATTAACAGAAAAAAATATGTATATTCTTATAAGAGTTAAAACCTAATGCCCGAGAAATAGTATTACTAAATTTAATGATATAACATGAAAGGCCCATTTAAACTTTACATTCTATAGTTTTAAGAATCATATTACTTCAAAAATTAAAATGAACAAAAAGTATACATAAGCCTCATAATTTTATGAAATTTAATTTTGTAAACAAAGTTTTTTGACAACAATTTTTATCAAAAAATTTCAAGTTTCAATAAAAATCATTATTTAGAAACTAAGAAACGTAAAATAAAGAATGCTGACGAAAAAAAAAAAAAAAAAAAAACAATTCTTTTTTGTCGCCATTTTTAGTGCTACGAAAATTCGTCTTTGGGATTTGCCAAAAACAAAACAAGATGCAATTTTATTTTTTCAGGAGGGAAATATTTTACCGAAAAAACGAAAATGTACCAATTCCCACAACATAAAACTTTATCTTGGTAAACGTACGTTTTGGAAATGTTATTTCATTTGGAATCTTATTTATCAGAGTTCATATGGCGATATGATTGTTTTGAATCTATGCTAAACTCTATATCGGCTCATTTTCCACCGAAATCCGATTGACTATTTTGATTTTAAATAAAGTGTTTTATTTTATGAATTGTCGCAAAAATTTTAAGTGTAGATTGGCGGCACTTAAAAACCGCCAAATCTGTAGCGGCGGTGGCGTTAATACGTAAGTACCGAATTTTTATTCCATACTTTTCTGAATCATATTACTTCAAACATTGGAATATACAAGAAGTATACATAAACACATAATGTTATACCATTTAATTTTTCAAAAAAAGTATTTTGAGAACAATTTTTATCAAAAAATTATAAACTAAAAAACGGAAAATAAAGAATTCTTAGGATAAAAAAAACGATTTTAAGAATTCTTAACATTGAAATAAAAACTTTCATATTGTTTCTTTTTTTATTATTCTTATAGTTCTTAATCAGACGTAAAAAACCATTCTGTAGAGAACCATCATCAAATGAAAAAAAAATATTTACAAGCAAATTTTTTATTGTAAAAATCATTGCACTTACCTGATTTATGATTCCCGGAGAATTCCAAAATGATAAGTTCCTTGTTTGAAAACTTTATTCTCAAATAATAGATACATAGTTTATACCTTCATTACTTTTAGATAACATACTACACAGCAAAATTTTATAATTGATATGAATTTGAATATGTAGCTAAAAACAGAATAGCTGAATTCTAGTTGAACTTATTCTTTCAAAATTAAAAAAAACTTACCAAGAAAACGATTTAAATTAATTAAGAATCAGCACAAATGGCACTATTTCAAGTAACTTGGATAATTTTTTATTGTTGTTTTCCGAATTATATGGATACAGAAATATATACTATTCTATAACGAAGAAGAATATGCTATAACTATTACAATTCTGTATGTTCTGAATTCATATTTATTCACTGGAATGACGAAAGCAATGTTGACTTCACTTTAATTCGTAATGAATTGAAGACAGAAGAAATGCATTTTACCTTAATACACACATCTGTAACAGTATCCGAAATCGGAAGTCATCAGTTGCAAGTTTGTAGATAATAGAAATTAAAAATTATTGAGGAATTTTTCTTCAAATGTTTGGCGTGTTCTGTTCCTGAAAGATTTACTAATATTCTGGAGATTTTTTTCAAGTTCTTCGGCCTTTTCCTTAGGGAAATTTTGTTTCTTATTTGCTGCTAAAAAATGGCGTCTTATTCAGTCAATGATTTTGATGGAACTAAATGAAAACGTGATAAATTAATGTCTGATATTTACAGGCTTCCGCTAGACGGCGTACTCGAGCGTTGCGATCGCGAATTTCTAGCGCACAGAGTTGTTTGCAAATAGCATTTATACATAAAATTTTTTTTTTATTGGGTTTATTTTCTGCGCAACAGCAGGAAACGAAATATCAGTTGAATATTAATGAAATGTGGGTAAATATTTAAGTATCTTTCTTTTTGTTGAAAAAAATAAATAAATACGTAAATAAAATAGGCAATTATCTAAATGACATTATTCAGCCAACTCTTTGAGCTAATACATGCAATGCGCGTATGTGGTTCATGATATATGTGATCTGGACACATTTATTAATCTAGTTAAATAATTTTTGTTTAATTTCATTTGATAGGTAGTATTAATTTTTTACATAATTACAGACAAATGAAATGTAGAATTTAAAGGTAAAAGATCAAAACAAAGTGTACTAATGCAAGGTGATCATTGCTCTAATGCAATTTGGGCTCAAAAAAAGAAGGAAAGATCTGGGGTTGAGGAATCCGTGTTAACATACTACTGATGAGAATAATAAGACGAAATGACAGAAACATTCCCTAAGAATCAAAGATTATTTTTTGTTATTAAATTAATCCTATCCTACGTTAAGAAAAATGCTACTAATGTTTTTTTTTAAGAAAGTTAACTTTATTTTTTAGTAAATTTATTAAAATTTAGAGTTATTAAACGAAGGAATACAGATTTTTCCATTATCTGCGCGTTTACCTGAAGTATGCTATGTCCAGCTTTTACCTCATATTCACAGAAAAATATTCTCAAAGATACTTGTTATGCGTCATTTGAAATAATAAAATTTTTGGCAGCATCACGGAAGTATTTTTCATTAATGAAATTTGTCATAGTAGTTAAACGAGTTATCTAATATCGAACGATACTAATAATACATTATGCTTAAAAACTTTTTTTCAAATATACTTCTTAAGACATGACTTTAAAACCGAAATTCTTAATATTTTTTGAAGAAAATTCAAAAATGTAATTTTAGATTTAATTAAAAAATGTCGTTTATTGCAGATTCTCTCATAAGGAAATATTTTTTGATTTGTTTCATCAGGTAAACTTAAGGCACATCGTAAAAGGCATTTTAGAGCAAGGTTCGCATCTAAAACTATGTGTCTTGTTTATTTTGTTTATAGTTACGCTTTTGTAACATTTTTATGAGACTAAATATGTTAAAATCAACGGTAATTGAACTAAATAGCAAAAGTTATTTCTTTGAGAGTAAAATTAACGGTTAATTTGTTAGAGATGAATTTTGACTATAATGAGTTGCCTGATCAATGGCAGCTATGTTTTATTAATCTTTATTTTGTTTAATTGAGCTTCTTAAAAAATGTGTTTCGCTTAATTTAACTTGAAGTCCTCGGAAAGAGCAACAAATAATAATAAATAAAAATAAATAATTATTTTAATTTCATTAAATGCTTTGGTATATGTTTGTGCTTGCTGATTAATATCGATTTATTGATTATTTACTTTTCTATTTTCTACCC